GTCACTGAACCCCGGTGACAAAGAACCACCTGATGATGTTTAACCTTTGATTCACTGACTGCTGAAAGAAACTGTGAGATGGAAGATGATGATCCTGATTATAATAGATGAAGAATAAGTGAAACATTATGGTCATCAGCGAGTCGGGAGGTTTATCAGTTTGTCCATGTGTTCATGAAGGACAAAAGCTGTGTGATGTAAGGTCCATGTCTTCTATGCTGCTCTGACCCCACTCATCCTTGCAGGATGGAGCAAGCTGGAGTCCGATGGCTGTCACCAGATCTGATGAAGTGTAAGTGGGCTGCGACTCAGGAAGTTTCAACCTTCTTCACACAGTGACATCACTCACTCACCTCTGTGAGGTCATCTGCGGCGTGTCAGAAGATGATCACATAATTAATAACTGCAGAAGTATTGTGTCGTGTGGTCTCATAAGATTCCTGGGACCTCACAATCGACACAAACACAGTAAACAAATACCTCAAACTGTCTGACAACAACAGGAAGGTGACATGGGTGAAGGAGGATCAGTCCTATCCCGATCATCCAGACAGCTTTGACCACTATCGAAACCTGCTGTGTAGAACTGGTCTGACTGGTCGCTGTTACTGGGAGGACGAGTGGAGAGGAGACTTTGATGTATCAGAGAGTAACAGAGGAATCAAGAGGAAGGGAGACAGTAATGGGGGGGGGGGGGGAGGGAGAGATCAGTCCTGGAGTCTGGTCTGCTCTGGGGGGGGGGGGGGGGCAGAGTGAGAGAGACGACATATTGATGTAATATTTTTCATATTTACCATCTGTAGAATCTCAGTCGAACACACAGCGAGCCCCGAGGAACAAGTACTGTGATTCAGGTATTAGAATATAAGTACATCACGTCCTCTTTGATCTCCTAAAATACTTCATGACCAAATACTTACATCTTCTTCCTTCTGCAGTTTTTACAACTTTGTGGTACTTTTACTGTACTTGAGTATTTCAAACGTTGCAGTTCTACAGCCGTAAAAACAAAAGCAGTAAAAAGAAGCTCCTCCTCCAGATGCTGCTTGTGTTGTTGAATTACAATAAATTATATTTATAACAACATAACTTTATGAAAAGGAACATTTATACAAAATTAATACTTTTTACTCAAATTAATGTTTTGCTGTTTTGACCATTTTGTTGTGCAGGACTTTAATGGTATTTTTACACTTTTATTTACTAAAAACATATACTACAAGTATCTTTAATAGATATGACTCAAACGGGTAGTATTACATTAAGGGAGTATCTCTACACCTGTGCTGTGACCGGCTGGTTGGTTGAGCAGGAAACAGCTTCACAGATTTCTGCTCTCGTCGAGAAAAAGAGATTCAGTTTCAATCAGAAGACCGCGAGCAGGAAAAAGCATCGCTGACATCAGCAGATCCGTCTGTAGACCGGCGGCGCTCCGGTTACACAACGTCTCCGACGCACTCAGCACTTTCCCTTTAGATGAAATCCAAATAAATATGACCTGTATCATGTTTATGGCTCAGATAGAAGTCACATGGTAGCATCCGTTAGCTCCATTTTTGTCCAAATCTCTTGAGCGTGTGATCTTTAACCAACTCTCCTCCTATCTCTACGTAACAACCTCCTGGACCCTCACCAGTCAGGCTTCAAGGCCGTTCCACAGAGACTGCTCTCCTTGCTGTCTCAGAGCAGCTCCACACTGCTAGAGCTCCTCTCTCTCCTCTGTCCTCGTCCTTCTGGACGTCTCTGCTGCATTTGACACAGTCAACCACCAGATCCTTATCTCCTCCCTTCAGGAACTTAGTGTCACAGGCTCTGCTCTCTCCCTTCTCTCGTCCTACCTGGACGGACGCACCTACCCCTGGAGAGGATCTGTGTGGGAACCTTGTCCTCTTACTACTGGAGTTCCTCAGGGTTCCGTCCTGGGTCCCCTCCTCTTCTCGCTCTACACCAACTCTCTCGGCGCTGTCATTCGCTTGCATGGCTTCTCCTACCACAGCGATGCTGATGTCACCCAACTAATTCTCTCCTTCCCTCACTCGGATCTCTGCCTGTCTGACTGACATCTCTCAGTGGATCCGCCCACCATCTGAAAATCAACCCCGACAGACTGAACTACTTCTCTTTCTGGGAAAAGATTCTCCTACACAGGATGTTAACGCCCACTTTGACCGCAGGAACCTCGGCATGACACTTGACAGCCGACTCTCCCTGACTCCCAACATCACTGACAACACCGTCCTGTAGATACTCGCTCTACAACATCAGGAGAACACGTCCTCTTCTCACTCAGAAGGTACTGATTCAGGCTCTTGTCGTCTCCCTCCTGGACTACTGTAACTCTCTCCTGCAGGTCTCCTGCTACCACCATTACCGCCACTCCTACAGCAAGTTGTCAATCGGCTTATTTGATGAAATTGCACTTTCTTGTTTCTTGCTTTTCTGAGTTTGTATCCTTATGGTTGAAATGCACTTATTGTAAGTCGCTTTGGATAAAAGCGTCAGCTAAATGACATGTGATGTAAAGGAACGAATCCCTGAACCCAACAATTTAAAAACCCACAATTTAGTTATGAGAATCGATTGAAGTCTGAAGTGAACAAAGTGAAGAAGAGTATCTGAGTGAGGCGGGGATCTTTTCTACGTTTCTATGACAACCATATCTGGACAATCTGGACATCACCATCGGGACTTCAGAAGAACAACTTCTTCATGGTCTGAAGGTCGAGCTTCAGAGCCCCCGAGACGCCCAGTGTGGAGGTACAGGTGTGTGTGTGTGTCAGTGTGAGAGTCACAGTGTGTGCAAATGTGTGGGTTTGCATATGTGTGTGGGTGTGCGTGTGTGTGTGTGCAAGTGCATATGTGCATGTGTGCGTGTGCATGTGTGTGTGTGTGTGTGTGTGTGCATGTGTGTGTGTGTGTGTGCGTGTGCATATGTGTGTGTGTGTATGTGCATGTGTGTGTGTGTGCGTGTGCATATGTGTGTGTGTGTATGTGCATGTGTGTGTGTGCGTGTGCATATGTGTGTGTGTGTGCGTGTGCATATGTGTGTGTGTGTGCGTGCATATGTGTGTGTGTGTGTGCGTGTGCATATGTGTGTGTGTGTGCGTGTGCATATGTGTGTGTGTGCGTGTGCATATGTGTGTGTGTGTGTGTGCATATGTGTGTGTGTGTGCGTGCATATGTGTGTGTGTGTGCGTGCATATGTGTGTGTGCGCTCACCTTGACTCCCTCGCTGACTCAAAGCCGCCATGAATCAGCCGCTCGCTCCTCGCGCTGAGGAACGGCTCCCCGCTGGACGATGAAGTCACATTCAGATACAACGATGCAGCCGAGATAAATACATAAATCTCCCCAGGAGGCGTAAATCACTGTGTGGCCTTGCTGAGCAGGTGGGGGGGGGGGGGGTCAGGTGATGAATCCAGGACACACAGAGCACCCAGAGACAGTCGAGGGAAATCATGAATCAAATTAAATTAAAAAAGCATTTTTTTTCATTCTTCTGATTAATTGAGTTCTATCCAGAGATGTTGGTCACTTTTTTTCGGAGTTTTTTCGCATATGAACAGACTGTAAAGCCCTCTGAGACAAATTTGCAATTCACAAAATAAAATGAATTGAGTTGAATTGAACTGAGCTGAATGAACCCTGACTGTTACTTGTTTAAACATAGAAAATAAAATCTTTTTAAAAGAAACAAAGTCCTGGTCGACTTTGTTTCTTTCCCAAACACAGCTGACTTTTTACTTACTGAGAGGTACTTTATGGAGTAAAATAACGTGACTTTTTTAAAAGTCCTCATCATCGTCACAAGTTGTTTGGTCTTTTAGAGACTGGAGGTAAAGGAGTCAACATGAGAAACACACATTAATGCAGCAGGAGCATCAGGTCAAACATTCAAACCTCCACAAACAACGAAGAGGCTCCGACCAATCGGACGCCTCCGATCTGTGAAGCAGGGAACCACTGAACCATGAAACCACGCGATGGTCCCACAGAGGCCATGAATGAGAGTCCGATGAAATGTTGGAATCCACCACCGAAGCTGAGTGGATGTTTGTTATCTACATCACCAATATTAGTTTTACCCAATATTCATCAATAGTTAATGAGGCGGAGAAACATTCTGTGCCGCCAACAAACCACAGATCAGTTTCAAAGCGACACCTTACCGAGCTCCTATCTTTGTAATATCTGAAGATGAATGTTGTTCTTTTGTTGAAATCTGATTGACAGGTGTCTAACGGACCATAAGGCGGGGCTACACGCTGATTGACTTGGCATGTCTCCAGAACAGAAGCAATTGACGCCTCACTAAGTGTGTCTGGACGAGCAGAGGCATCAGGAGAGACGAGCTGTCAGTAAGGAAACTAAAGGAGATGCTCGCTGAGGAGACCTGAGACGAGGGGACTTCAGACGCGGGGTTTGGGACTCGTGTCCCTCTGGGCCGTCCGGTCCTGCGGGACGAGAGGAGCAGTGGGGATGAAGCACCAAACCGGATTGAAGATGGGCGTGGCCAAAGAAACGGGGTCGCAGTTCCGTATAAAAAAAAACAATCATTGTTTGGGATAGAAAGACATTTATTGTTATTGTGTTGGTTTCATTGAGCTGTGACAGTAAACAGAACGTATCAATACGCCTCTTTTTCCTCACAGGGTTGGACGTCTGCGGGACGGCGGCCTACAGAGAGTCGGCCTTCTTCTACCTTGAACTCCTACGTGGTGGAAGAACCTGAGAGGACAGACGTGTCCTCTTGCCTCACAGTCTACACCAGGGGCGGGACGTCGGGGTCGTCCACGAACCCCTCGGAGAAGCCGCTGTGACCGCCGGCGGTGGGCGGATCCATACGGGGCGCTTCCAGCGGGCCTTCTTGGGCGCTGTGGCGGCGCACGATGTTGGCGAGGTCGATGTGCGTGTGCCTGCTGGGCTCCGCCTCCAGCCTCTGGGGTTCTGTTCTGTTCGGACACGGGGGAGAGACTCCAGTTAGAGGCGTCTTCTTGTATGACTGAAGCTAAATGACATGTAACGTAACGATTCCCTGACAGCCAATCAGAAGCAGGGTCAGAACACCATCAGGACCGGAGCTGCATGAACCCATCTGCCTCCCAGCAGGACACCCTGATCGTCTCATCGGCGTGGGACCCGGAGGCGGAGTTTAGTCAGACGACGCTGACGTCGCCGCTTTAAACGTGTGCAGTGAGGCCGATGCGTGAGGAATGTCATATCACATGACTCCTCCCAGGTGACCTCGCGGAGGGGAGGTCCATGTGTGCTTGATGTCCCAGAGGGACGGAAAAGGTGTCTTTTGTGGAATCCCTGGATGGACGTGATGGAGACATGTTGGTGTTTCTAGGGTAGAAGAACCGTCTGGAACCATTAAACCAAATATGGATCTGAGCGCATCAACCTCAGTCCGTTTGCCTATAAATCAATACCTGATGTTTAACCACACGGCCCGATGAGCCGAGAACGACTTTACAATCATCTCTGGGGATTCTGGGGTTAGACATGTGACTTTACATCATTTACAGCTCTGATTCACCCACAAGAAGTCAGCAGGTTGAGATGTTCCCGGAGACCCTGAACTTCCTGGTTGGTCATGTGACCACGTAGACGTAAAGCTGCTCCGGAGACATCGAGCTGCTTTTTAACTGTTGCTGCCGCTCTTAATCCGTCAATTTATCATTAATCAATGATCAGCTGATTCATCAAATTACAGCAACAAACTAAACTAGTGACTTAAATGTTCCCTTTAATTACAGGTGTGTTGGTGCCGACGCGTTAGCGTTCTACCTTCTAACACACCTTTCCATCTCTTCAGTGGACCTTAAGGTGCAAAGTACTGCAGTCCAAAAGACAGATGTTCCTTTGACTGTAAAGCCACATCTTCTGGGCGGTTCTTTGATCCCTCTGCAGAACGGTCTCCGGGGTAACGGGCAGGACAGAAAGATTTCCCTCCACAGCAGAGAACCTCAAAGACCAGGAGGCCCTGGGGGCTCTGAAGGTGGCGCCCCTCTGGGACCAGGGGAAGAGGGGGGCAGACCTGATGGTGGTCCCCCTCTGTCATGAGGAGATGTTTTATTCCACTCTCTACAGATGGGGGACGTCACACAGCATGAGAGCCAGGAACACATCAGTAAAGCAGCATTATCATTAAACTATAACAGCTTCTACATTTTAAACGTCTGCTTGTGTTAAGAAACCGTTTGATTTTATTTATCACTCTTATTCTTAAGGTTTCTCAGGGATTTATTACTTTATTTAAAATCCTTCAAAGAGGAAAAAGAGGACACGTATAGGGGGACGGTGTGGAACATTCAAATATATAACGTAAGGCGTGTTTTCATCAGCGCATCATGATCTGAAGAGTCGTCTCTACCTAAAGACCATTTAAAAACCTGCAGCAGCTCAGAGGAACGGCGAGCTCACTCCCTTTAGACACAGTTGACCCTGACCTCTGACCTTTATAAACCCCTCGTGACTTCATTCAGATGATGTTTGATGGTCTGCATGATCTGATGAAAAGTCAGAACCTCCCCACAGCTTTTAGGGGACATCATCTGAGGACCACGAATGTCTGTGTCCTGAGAATCCATCAATCTGTGGTAAATACACTGAACACTCAGTGATCTTTTCTGCTTCTGTAGCAATAAGGCGGAACTCCCCCGTACATCCCTTACTGGGACCAGAGCCCTCACTGGGACCAGAGCCCACACTGGGACCAGAGCCCACACTGGGACCAGAGCCCTCACTGGGACCAGAGCCCACACTGGGACCAGAGCCCTCACTGGAACCAGAGCCCTCACTGGGACCAGAGCCCTCACTGGGACCAGAGCCCTCACTGGGACCAGAGCCCTCACTGGGACCAGAGCCCTCACTGGGACCAGAGCCCTCACTGGGACACTACATGACTTGCTCACATTGTCAGATCTTGTGATAATGATACAAAGAGAGTAGGATGAAGTCCAAGAGGCACCATGTGAGACCACAGACTTGTGTGACATCAGTGGGGGTTGGTGACGCGTCCTTCCTGTCCAACGTTACGAGCACCTCTGTGCCATCGGCTGATTATCGTTACCTGCTGCGGCGCCCGGGCGAGATGCTGCTGCGTGGCGTCCGGCGGGGGACGCTCTTCGCCACTTTGATTTCGCCTGAAGCCTGAAGAGAAACATCACAGGAGGAGACGTGTCTTCAGAGTCTGAGAGCGGCTCTCAACCCTTCAGCTGGAGCTCGGTCACTCGGAGGCCTTCATGAGCTGTGTGACCGTACCTACCCTCGGCATGCTGAGGACCAGGTGTCCCGTGGTTTGGGACCTCCGAGCCGTCGAGCTGTCGGGCTTCACTTCGGCCGGCAGGACCACCTGAAATATCTGCAGAGGAGATTATTCACAACTTTAATTAGCAGGATTAATGCGCTGATCTGGCGTGTCAAATGACTTTAATCATCAGCAGGTTCTTTTTATAGACACGCGTTCCAGAAGAGACCAGAATAGAAGCGTGGCCATCCATCACCGGAGCAAAACAGGGTCCACGTGTGCAAAAAAGCGTTTAAAGAGTCTGAGGGGAAAACCGTGGTACCAGCGGGAGGAGGAGGAGGAGCTCCGTCGGCTGTTACCACGGCGATGAGACTTGATATACAGATGACTGCTGACACGGCTTCATATTTAGTAATCTTAATGAGCCGAGTTGATGCATCGCTGCGTAAATCACGCCACCCGTCCAATCAGGCTAACACGCGGTGCAAAACAACCCTCCATAAACCCGCCAGGGGCCCTGAAGGGGAGCCATGCGGGACCCCGGGGAGAAACAACCACAAAAAGATTACACCGGTGGGATTACAGTGACGAGATTAACACGTGAGGATTCTTCTGATTACTTTTTTCTGTATGATGCAATATTCTGTGCAACACCACCCAAAGGGAACGTTTGAGAGACTCTCCGTTAACGGCGGTTTCATTTTACTCTTCTTGGTGAAGTCTTGTGAATGTGAGCTGCACAAATCCAGGTTTCTACAGGAGCCCAGAAGGGACAAACTCTGGCTCCACAAAGACTTCCTCGCTTTCTGCGGTCACGACAACATGCCGGACTGAGACTCCGTTCCCAATAAAGCTCAGCGGGACTCCAGCTGAGCTCCAGCAGAGCGGGAAGTGAACAGCTGACAGCAAACAGAACACCAACTTGTGTCTTTACTCTTCATCAGGAAACAGGTCATCTGATCCCCTCCAGGTTCACCATCACTATGAAACATTAAAGAGGGTCTCACGCTGCTGCACATCGGACAGATCGCAGCCGGGAAATGACTCGGCAGAAGGTGTAAAAAAACAATTTGATGACTCAGCCTTTTATTTTGATCTAAATTGGACTCTTCATCCATCACACGCTCAGCAGCGAACTCCATCTCTATATTATCTAGTATGTACATATACTCATCTAGTATGCACATATACTCATCTAGTATGTACATATACTCATCTAGTATGTACATATGTACATCTGGTATGCACATATACTCATCTAGTATGCACATATACTCATCTAGTATGTACATATACTCATCTAGTATGTACATATACTCATCTAGTATGCACATATACTCATCTGGTATGCACATATACTCATCTAGTATGTACACATACTCATCTAGGATGTACACATGATGCTGGGGCACAGGGGTATCAACGCATGGTCTGACGCATGCTCACAGAGAGCGACCCCCAGTGGACTTTTATAGAAATGCAATTTATATCTTTCTGTCATTTTTACACTGAGCAGTCATCCAGCGGTCCGCTCTGGACCCCGTATGTTTGACACCCCTGCTTTAGGACCTCCTCCGCCTACCTTTCCTTTGACTTTGACTCTGGCGTAGGTTGGCTGGACATCCACGTCCATCAGGGAGGTGTCCATGTGTCTGTGGGGAGGGGGTGGGGGGGGGGCAAAGGGATGAGGAAAAAATCCAGAAATTCTGTACAGGAGCGTCTGAGGTGAAGACAGCTGAAGGATCCAGAGGACCTGATGGACTTGAGTTCTTTTCAACAGCATTGGGGCATCGTGAGCTCGTGGTTCCGTACCTGTAGACCTCCAGGGTCAACACGATGGAGTTATGTTCTTCATCCTCAGAGAAACAGAAGTCCAGCCTGTAAGAGAGGCGGAGCTCCGTCACCACAGCCAATCACAGAGCGCCGCTCGCTGCGTGGGGGGGGTCGAGGCTTCAGCGGAAACACGTCACAGTTATGGAGGAAACTGACCTCCCTCCTATTAGTCTTGTTATTATTGTTTCACCAATAAACTAAATGGGAGAATCTGATTGGACGTGTTTTTGCTGCTGAGACAGAATGAGAACAATTACGTGGCTTTCTGCTGCTGACGATCTGATTGGTCGATTCCAGTTACAGTCAATCACAGCAGGTACTACTTACTGCTGTAAAGGTACTAATACCACATGTAATATACTCGGTTACAGTAGAGGTACTAATACCACAGTGCAAACATACTCACAGTACAAGTAGTGTAAATACAATAAAGGTACTAGTGCCACAGTGTAGAAGTACAGTTGGAGGTCAATGGACTAATTTCAGGCTCCGCCAACCTGAAGGTCATCAGTGGGGGAAACGACCTCCGCTCTTTGAACCCCACAACATCCCGTCCTCTTGCCTCATTTGACCTTTAACCTTTAACTCTTAGAGAACCTTTACTTTGGCTCGTTGGTGTTCAGGACTCGTCCATCAGCGGTGATCAGCGTCCTCGGGAGGGACGCCGGCTTCTTCTCCGTCTGCCTGCAGGGAAACAGAGAGGCATGGAGGACGCACTGCAGTGCGTGCGTGCATGCGTGCGTGCGTGTGTGTGTGTGAGTTCTGAGGTCTTTGGGGTGAAGAGAAGAGACTCTTCTACTCCAGAAGCTTCCATAAAGAGACGCTGAACATAATGCAGTCAAAGGTTTTACACACAAACACAAGAAGTGCTTCAGATAATGTGACCTTTTATTTCTCAGGTCGTAATCATACGGGACTCCTGCTCTTGTTCCCTTTGCTGTATGAAGATGTCTGGGTTCTAATAGCGTTTGCTATCAAGGATCATGTGTTTGTATCAGGAGGGAAACTCCAGTTCTTTAAGTGAAGCCAAAGCGTCGAGAGTTAAAAGCTGCATCCTCTGTAGTGACCAGCAGGGGGCGACTCCTCTGCTCCCATAGACGTCTATGAGGAAATGACTCTACTTCTCTGTAGTGACCAGCAGGGGGCGACTCCTCTGCTCCCATAGACGTCTATGAGGAAATGGCTCTACTTCTCTGTAGTGACCAGCAGGGGGCGACTCCTCTGCTCCCATAGACGTCTATGAGGAAATGACTCTACTTCTCTGTAGTGACCAGCAGGGGGCGACTCCTCTGCTCCCATAGACGTCTATGAGGAAATGACTCTACTTCTCTCTTGATTTATTCCCTCAGTAAACATTGTAAACATGAGTTTATGGTCTCAGTCTCTAGTTTCAAGTCTTCTTCAGCATGATGTTCATTTAGTGAATTTTGGTCCCTTGTGAGTCAAACCATGAAGCGGGGGACGCTTCAGGGCGGGGCTACACGCTGATTGACAGTTCTCTAACAGACCATGAAGCAGGGGATGCTTTTGGGTGACGATGTGCTGACGTTTCGGTCGGAGCAGAAGGACCCCTGGTGAGCAGAGGTGGAGCCCAGTTCAGTAGGTCCATTACGCCGGGATGAATCCCAAAGACTTTTCATGCCGACAGAGCACTATTTGTTCCCAAAGGAACCATCGACAGAATCACCTCCGGTTCATCAAAAGATTTTTAATTTCCCCATGAGACGTTTCTGTCCAATTTGTTCGAGGACAATTCAAGGTTTATTGCGACCGTGTGGTTTTATCCGAGGTGTCTTTGTGATTACCCAACAAATTAAATTAAATCATGATTAGGTCTGTTCAGCTGGACACACACAGCAGCCTCTGGAGCGCTGTCCATCATCTGCATCTTGGAAACATCAAGAGGAGGAACGTCTTCACACCGGTGACCCGCACAGACTGAACCCCAGAAGCGAGGAAGGCGATCTCCTTCAGCTGGATTTAATGGTCTCGTAACGACGTCGATCGGGGTCCAATTCCACCCAATGGAATTGCCTCCATTTGGCTGACGGTTTGAGGTAATTTTGCGGGGGTTTCATTTTGTGCAACACAGGTGGAGACTGTGTGTGTGTGTTGAGGTGAGACAGAGGACAACCATCACCTTTGAGTCCACCAAGTTAAAGTGCAGCTGTGGAAAGGTAGAACGTCACTGTAGATTAGTGGTGAAATGATTCATGGATTGTCTCTTCTGTCCATCATTAACTGAGTGGACGTAGAACTGATGACGTCACTAATTGGTTTGCTGAAGTCGCCATGTTGTTGTTTTATTTGCCTCCAGTGAACAGGAAGTGACCTCATCTGGACTGAGAAGGACGTAGAGACGCCGTATACGTCTCTGGTAGAGACCTGTCAATCAGCACCCGGTTGCCGTAGCGAAGAAGTCATCACAGGCCCCACTTGGACCGACCCGGAGGAGACTTCCTGTCCCACGCGTTTATTCGTGTGGTCCTTTATCTGCGTTGCGTCAACTGAGGAGGCGGGGCTCTAAATCCAGAGGGGCACTCGAAGTAACTCTTCGTAAGACCGGAATCCAACCGTTGGAAATGTTTTGCTTCATTTTGAAAGTGACCACAGTGAAACCGAAGAGTCTCTTCATGGGTTCAAGGTTTGGAAGAAGCTCCTAACCCTCCTGCGAGGTTTCTCCTGGGGACCCTCTGTCTTTCGGTCTCACGCTCCATCTGCGGTGGCGTACTGAAAGATTTGGGATGGTTGGCGTCTTCCAGCTGAGCCGACTCACGTCTCCTCTGCTCACAGGACGGTTTGTTCTGAGCTGGAGCTCCTCATTAACCCCACGGATGAACCCGGACTGAACGTCCTGGGTCTTCACTATTCATCTTCACGCTGTGACACCCTCGAATGAGGACAGCAGTGTTCTTGTTGCCTCTTCTTTGTCTCTTTCCTGTTAGTGTGGTGACCAGCAGGGGGCGACTCCTCTGCTCCCATAGACGTCTATGAGGAAATGACTCTACTTCTCTGTAGTGACCAGCAGGGGGCGACTCCTCTGCTCCCATAGACGTCTATGAGGAAATGACTCTACTTCTCTGTAGTGACCAGCAGGGGGCGACTCCTCTGCTCCCATAGACGTCTATGAGGAAATGACTCTACTTCTCTGTAGTGACCAGCAGGGGGCGACTCCTCTGCTCCCATAGACGTCTATGAGGAAATGACTCTACTTCTCTGTAGTGACCAGCAGGGGGCGACTCCTCTGCTCCCATAGACGTCTATGAGGAAATGACTCTACTTCTCTGTAGTGACCAGCAGGGGGCGACTCCTCTGCTCCCATAGACGTCTATGAGGAAATGACTCTGCTTCTCTGTAGTGACCAGCAGGGGGCGACTCCTCTGCTCCCATAGACGTCTATGAGGAAATGACCCTACTTCTCTTGATTTATTCCCTCAGTAAACGTTGTAAACATGAGTTTATGGTCTCAGTCTCTAGTTTAAGTCTTCAATACAACATGATGTTCATTTAGTGAATTATGGGTCTCGTTCATCGATAACCATCAGTGAGCATCAAGAGTTCCTGAGAGCCGATTGGCTTTGATGAAAGCGATCCTGAGTCGGCGTGGACAGAGGACACTGGCCAATGGAGAGGACAGAGGACACTGGCCAATGGCCGGTGTTGTAGGGACATCTGGAGGCCAAGAGGGGAAACTGCAAAACTCCACTTCAACTGTATCTTATTAGTTGTATCTGAGGCGTTTCTTTTTAAGGAAGAAGGTGTTTTGTATCTATTAAAGACTATTAAATGTTATTTCATTTGTTCAGGTGGCTCTGGCGTGTGTGTACAAATGACCTTTGACCTCACTGATGACGGTGAGCACCTACCTCTCCTTGGCCTTCTTCTTCTCCTCCAGGTGGCGGTGCGTCTCCAGCCGGGACTCGGGCGTGAATGCGCACGGCGTGTGCCAGAACTCCTTCTCCAACCGCTCCTCCTCCTCCGGGTCGTTGGGCGCTGGGTTCTCCTCCGCCTTCCGGTTCTCCTCCTTCTCTTCCTGGTTCTCCTCCCGGTTCTCCTCCTCCTCTTCCTGGTTCTCCTCCTTGTTGGCCTCCCGGTTCTCCTCAGGCGCTGGCCTACAGACACATGGAACTATCGGTCACTTTGAGCACATCTTCAACAGGTCGCTTGGGGTTATTTTAACGCCCTTATGGGGCAGTTGAATATATTCAAATAAATGCTAAAATTACACCAAGCAGCAAGACTTAAAGTCCTAAAGCTCAAATATGTTAGTTGTTCTTGTAATGGCGTTTGTTTCATATTCATAGAGCACTTCCATAAAGCACATAGATTATTAGAAATGACTTTTATCATAAAATATCTGTTAGCTAAACAGGTTACTTTTAGGCTAACTGCATTAGAGATTCTATGTACCAGCAGCCTCCTTTCTTCCTCCTCTCCTCCTCCTTCTCCCTGGCTCTCCTCCTCAGGTGCTCCTCCTCCTGCTCCCACACTCGCCTCCTCACCTCCTCCAGCCGCTGGGAGGCCCGAAGCCGCTCCGACCGGCTGATCTCCGTCCCGTCCAGCCACTGAGGACGGATCTCACTCATTCATACTTTCCACACGCTCATTTATTCAAAGGACAATTACGCTTTTATTTCTGCCGGTTGGAAGCCGGTTGGAAGCTACCTGCAGTCGGGGCAGCGCGGCCACCACGTACTGCCGGTAGCCCTCAAACTGAGAGCAGGGGTTCCCGGTGAGGAAGAGCTCTGTGAGGTGCACGTTGTGCTGCAGAGACTCCACGCTGCTCAGGCGGCCCACGAAGTTCACCGTCAGGTCCAGTTTCTGCAGGTTCTCGCAGCCTGCAGGCAGGAGGCACGCACACACACACACACACACACACACACACACACACAACAAAGCGCTGCAGCCTTTAATCGATTAGTCAATCCGATGAAGACGAGTGCTCTGATAAGTGAAGCAGCTTTGAAGTTGTTATCTCAGGTGTGACACCTTGCTGCTGATGACATCACATCAAAGAACATGTCATCTGTTGATGTGTGATGTGTGTGATGACATCACTGGAGATCTACTCACCGGTGTTTCCTTGACCCGTGAGTAAGTGGAGGACATAATCTCATTATTGACACAATCTCTTCCTCATTCAATAGAGAGTGTTGATTATTGTTGAGCCCTTCGATGTCTGACTCATCTTTTATTCAGTTTATAAAACAATATTTTATTTTAAAGGGAGTTTTTGGCATCTTTAAAATCCTGCATCTGAAAAAACCTTTCCTCAGACATTCAGTGTGTGTTTACTTGTATTCACTGAACGCTCCAGACTGAATAGTTACAGGTGCACCACTGCTGGGAATCCTCCACATGAATACTGAAGATAATAATTACACCCAAACACACCCACCTTCAAGGTTTTCAATGACTTCAATGTTGTTCAAGGCCAGGTTCAAATACTGCAGCTTCTTCAGGCGCCCGACGTTCTCTGCATGAACGAATGACATGTTGAGATATTGAACAAATTCGTGTGATGAATGAGTGTGTGCGGTCGGGCCTCTCACCGATCCTGGGGATGAGGTTGCTCTGCAGGTAGAGGATCCTCAGGTCTCTGCACCACCTGTCGATGTGCTCCATCCTCTCGATGTCCTGCTGGTGCAGAGAAACCTCCTCCAGGGAGAAGATCTGGCCCTCGTTGTGCTCGGCCCGCTTGCGGACCAGGTCCTCTGTGACTGGATGGCAAGTAATAACTCAATAATAACAGTAATGGACATGCTTAATACGCATGAAGACATCAGACGGGTCTCCCTGTTTCTAGCATCATTATGTTTCTATTACTGACATTAATTTTCCTTTTGCCAAAAATCTTCCGTGTTTATTTAAGGTCCTGAGGTGTTAAATCACATTTATCCAGAAAAAAACTGCACATATATAAATGTATATATATATATATATATATATATATATATATATATATATATATATATATATATATATATATAAAACATCTGTGTTTTGGTCTATTATCTCATAATCCATCCATATAACTCACTTAACTGATCTTATCTTAAAATCACATACGACACAAATCATATCTTTGTACTTTTTAAAGTAGCTGCCCTGCAAATACAAGTTCCCTCTAATTGTGTCCAACAGCTAACTAACTTTCAAATTATGGACATGATTGACAGTTGACAAAAATGTTGAGAGTCACATTCGCTTTACCGTTATAACGTTAGCATGCTACGCGTAAGCTAACGTTAGCTAGGCTAGGTTAGCTTGACGCAGTGGCGCTAAAGATTACGTATTTTAGTAACACGGTTAAACGGTTAAAACACATCACAGCGAAGAACAACCACTTCAACTAATATTATTTAGCAATTCGTAAAGTGACACGTATCATTAACGTTAAGAGTACAAAAGCAGAGGAAGGATGTTTTTAAACTTACTGTAAACCATCTTCCTCTCTGTTGTCAGGCGTTGCCGTAGAAACCGACCTCGTGCTGCGTTCACGTACTGTGGTAAGTTCTACCAGTAGAAAATGAGCTCAACGTTCATTCAGAAAAAAATACACGCAGCCCCCCATCTTGACAGAAAAAAACAAATGTAGAAATTTTTGCAAATTTATTAAAAAAGAAAACCTGGGTGTGAATACTTTCCGTACCCACTGTATACACACACGCTTATACTCTACTCTCCTTTAAATATCTTCCTAAAGATATGCCACCTACTGGGTCCCTGCTCTGTTTAACATGTTCAAATACATTAAAGTCATCATATTGTTTACAACAACAATGTAACAGATTTATATCCACACATTTAGCATTGCAATTTTATCTAGTTAATATGGTATTTGGCAAAAACCGGAGAGTATAATCGTTCATCTTAGGATTTTGTGTAGTCATCACTGATATTGTCAGTATCATCATGCAACAACTTTACATTATCGGTACTTGTTTTTATTATTTTATTTAGGAGATATGGATTTTACGTTCACGCGAATGCATCATCTAGTGATTCTTTCTGAGCTTTTATTTTGAAAGTGGCATTGCGGAAGTTGTTCCGTTAAACCCACTTCAGAGGAGGAGACAACTGATTTAACAACAATCAAAACCGATTAACCGGAGCATCCATCCATCCTCCCCCCCACATCCACCGGTCACTAACCACCGGTGTACCGGGAGCACGCAGCCCCCCCCCGGTGTTCCGGGTCCCGCCGTCCCGACATGACGGGCTACAAGGCGTTTCACGCCCAGCTGACGTCCATCATGGAGGCGCTGACCAGCGCGGCGGTGTCTGAGATCTGCGAGCTGGTGGAGGACAGCTACGCGGTGCTGCGGGTGGAGCTCCGCCGCAGCACCGCGGACAACGCGGCGCTGCGCCGGAAGCTGGAGCTGATGGAAGGCGCCGCGGTCCCGGGCAACCGGCGGAATGACGGCCCGTCGGCCCCGGGCCGCGGGGGTCTCCCTCCCGGTGAGTGACAGCCGGTGTCCCGTCGTGCTGAGGAGTTTGTTCCATACGTTCGGCCGGTACCCCCCCGGACCCCCCCGGTAAACTCCCCAAACTTCAGCCGGTGCCAACCTGTTCACGCGGCCGCCCGTTACCGCGCGCAGGCTGAACAGCTGTTTGTTGTCGGTGATCCACGTTTCCCGCTTCACGCGCACGCGCCGAATCGAAGAAGTGATATTTAATTGGGAGGAAACGCACCGAGACGCGAAATTCAGCGGCCGCCACGTCACCAAAAAGTAGAAGTGTTTTTAAATGGTTACTTTACAGAACCGAGTTCCTGACATTTCCCGCCAACGTTTTAGTAGATAAAAGTCGGTTCATCTGTATAAAAACACGTGTACTGGTGGATGTCTGTAATCGCAGATCTATGTTGTGTTGGTCACCAGGGGGGGCCGAACGCATGAACGTGAACCTCCAAAGAGGTGGAAGAGCCCCCAGGCTGGAGGTCACGCCTGAGTTGACCCCTGCAGCCAAAGAGGTCGGTCTTCTCAAACGTCTTCCTCTGCGCTTCAACCGTTCTAACCTAAGTAACATCGTCTGTGTCCAAGGAAGGAGGACCGGATGGTCCCCTGGTGTCCCTCAAACAGACCACACCAACAAGGAGGAGACTAGCTGTGACCGCAGAGAGACACAAAGGAGACTCAGACTTGGTTCTTTGGGTTAATCTTATAAAAGTGTGGTAGATTGTTTATTGCTTTTTCATGAGCGTATAAACGTTCAGTGTTTATTTCTGATTTCAAGGGTTTGGGGAGAAAACGTTGTTTAGTGGTGACATTGTGATGGAATATAAATAAAGGTCCGTGAGAGTTGGTTCAGAGCCGATGAGTCTTCTCTGCTTCCAGGATTCTCCCTCCGGAGCCACCGAGGAGCCCGAGGACCAGGATGTAGTTTTGATAAAGGAGGAGGCGGCCAAAGAGGAGGCGAGCGACCACGAGGCCTCGGACGAGCTGCTGCTCAACGCAGACGGTGAGAGCGGCCGAGTCGCCGTCCCTCCTCATCGAGAGGGGAAACTCCCAGCTCGAGCCCCCCCTTTAAATAATGATGATTATTTTAGACATATTAAGGACCTTTGACCTCTGACGGTTTGATCACGTTGTTTGAAACCTCTTGTTTTTAAGTCTTGTTTCAAAGTTGTTCTTCATCTGGAAATCAGAATCCGAGTCGGCTTTTATTGGCCGTGTGTGTTTGCACGTACATGGAATTTGTCTCTGTCATACATAGATACACAAACCAACAGGAAATACAAAAATCTGTGGAAAGCAGCTCTGTTACCAGAGACGTCCATGAGAAGGACGTCTCTGTAGTGACCACCAGGGGGCGACGCCTCTGGTCACTGTTGTTGTGTGTGAAGGAACCGAGGAACGGCTGCTGGACACAGATGACGGAGGAGCCTGCGGCCTGACGGTGCACTCGGCGGAGGTCGCCCTGATGCTGTGGGACCGGAGCAGCGACGTCCCAGGGAGCCGGTGGACCCACAGTGCACCGGGCTCTGCGGGCGCCTCGGACGCGGCGATCGACTTGGCCTCCGAGTCGGACTGCGAGGCTCCGTCCGAGGGGCGGCCCTTCCTGTTTGGCTCCGAGCTGAGACGGAGCGGCAGCTTCCCCTACGACACAAACCTTGACCTCTGCTCCTCGTGGACCGATCAGGGCCTCCCTCACCGCTCGGCGCCGTCCGACCCGAGGCCCCGGCTGGACCCGCTGGAGCTGAGCCGGTTCTGCAGGGACGGCAGGCGCTTCGTCTGCAGCTACTGCGGGAAGTGCTTCACCTCGTCCCGCAGCCTGGAGACGCACGTGCGCGTGCACACGGGCGAGCGCCCGTACAGCTGCGCCCAGTGCGGCAAGCGCTTCACGCAGTCGGGGCACCTGAAGACGCACCAGAGCGTGCACACCGGGGAGCGGCCCTTCGCCTGCCAGCACTGCGGGAAGAGGTTCGCCGGGAAGCAGAACCTGAGGATCCATCAGCAGAAGCACCACGCGGCGGCGTGACCGAGACGCGCACACACAGCAGACGCCGGGGACTTTGGTTTGAGGACATTCAAGCCGCCGGGTGGAAACCTGAGACAAAGACGCGTGTGTGGGTGGAACGCTTTGAGATTTGGGCGACTTTGGGCCTTTGGGGCCACGTGGAAGAGAAGAGGCCGAATCCTCTGTGGAAGAACTTCTCAATAGTGTTTTTATATCTTTGTAAATTCAATTGTTTGGACATTTCAAATTAATTTAGACGGATTTCCAGAGCAGCGAACCTCTTATTCGCATTGCTAACAAACGAGTTGTAACGGACTAAATGAGTAAAGTTTATCGACCTGATGCTTCGTCCACGCGCTTTTCACCTGGAAGGAAAGCTTCCTTCGTGTATGCTAGCTAGCTAGCCGCTCTGTGCCATTACAGCGGCTGTAATGTAACAGCGTTGTTACCGTAGCAACGAGCAACAACCACTGTGTTCTCCTCCAGTGGCTTCTATCAGTTGACCCGTCATACACAGATCTCATTGTACAAATAATACAGACATATGTCCCTGTCCTCTGTCCCACAAGGCCCCAGCAGAAGCAGTGAGAAGTGTCCCACTAAGAAAGCCCCCCCACACCACCCCTACATACTCCTGTTCCCTTTAATATTCTGGAATCATCTGTTTAAAACATGTAGAAACATCTGTCATCATGTTTTTCAGAAAAGCATTTCCTGCTTTCCGTTGTCTCGTTTAACGTTGTCTGATATTGTGGAAACCTCAGTGATTAAAACCATATTTTAGATATATTTTAGCCCTTCTTACAGACTTCACTTTGGGTTGAATTCTGCTGAAAAAGCTCACTTGATACGATATAGACAACTAAATAATAATTATGATATATATAAATAGATGAAGTATAATGTTATAGTCCATCATCAGCACCATCATCAGTCCCATGAGTATAGATTAAAAACTAAAAAACGAACAGTTTGTCACAACAACAACAGGCTCTTATTTTGAAGTCTTATTTTGAAGTGTCATACCGGAAGCTCGGGCGAAGCGGAAGTAGAAAGACCATCGAACCGTTGGTCGTCTTGGACGCGAGCGACGGGCCGGAGTTTTAACTTCCAAACGGGTCCCGGCGGCGCAGTAGCGACACCACCTCCCCTGAGCCCCGTGTCTCCGTTGAGGGGCGCGCGGGTCCTCGGTGCCGGTCCGGTTGCTCCTCTCCAGGCGGCGGCCATGGCCGCGTTGGGCAGCAGGGCTCTGCGGGAGCAGCTCTCCATCATCATGGGCGCCCTGACCACGGCGGCCGTGGCGGAGATCTGCGACGTGGTGGACGAAGGCTACGCGGTGCTGCGGATGGAGATCAGCCGCAGCCACCAGGAGAACGAGGACCTGAAGAAGAAGCTGCACCTCATCCAGTCCATCGTGGTCCGGGGCAGCGGCGGCGGCGGCGCGGGGGCCGCGGCGCTGGAGCCGGAGGTCGCGCCGGCGGCGGAGGGCGAGAAGCGGGCGGAGACGCCGCGGCGGCAGCGGGACGGCGAGGGGGGAAACGCCGCTGCTTCCAGCGCAGGAGACGGAGGGGGGGTCGTGATGGTGCCCGAGGAGGTACACAACAACAACAACAACAACAACAGCGTGTATTACTCAGTAATTACCTCTCAAAAGTAACGATTTAGTTCGTTTCCTTCAAAATAATGGCTTTGTATTTAAAACCAATGACTTTTCTTCAAATTAAGAGTCGGTATTTATAAACAATCACCTTTTTTCAAAATAATAAACCCTTATTAAACATATTGAATTGGGAAAGTTTCTTATTTTAGTTTCTTAGTCAGTGTCAGACAAAGAACAGCAGCAGATGCTCGACTTCAAGGGCTTGAAGATATTAATCAGTTATCAAAATTGCTGATTTTCTTTTAATCAGTAAGTCAAATAATGATCGTTTTGCCTTTTGTTAAGATTATAGAGGAAAACATTTAAATGGAAATTTATCACTTCCTTTAAAGATTATCTGCTCAAGATAGGAAAAATATATATATACTTTTTAGACTCGCCGGCATCCGTAAATTTAACCTCCCTAACCATTATATGATTTTAATAAGTAGCTACAATTCAAGTCATCTGTTAGAACAGATCTTAGTTGCCACCAGTATAAAATCCTTAAACAGGATATTTATTAAATACTTGCAAGTATGGAGACAGAATTGACAACGTCTACACAGTGTTGTGCATCAAGGCCACATTAGGGTTGATTCCTTGTCCGACATAAACGGTTATCGTACATAAACCTTTGTGCACGTACTCCGATGTCAGAGGACCATCATGTCCGTTACCCCGAGACGTCTGACCACCGTGAGACATCGAGCGTCCTCTGTCTTATCTCAGCTGACACGTCACACACAATCTCATTGTACAAATAGTACAGACATAAGTCCAAAGTCCCCTTCTGATTAGGACCTTATGACATTATTGCAGTTTTTCATCATCAGTCATATTTAATCCCATAAAACCTCCAGATGCTCGCTATAAAATCTTCATCTGAAAGTCGTATCTTTGAGGTTAATCATCGTTTTATCCAAAAGGAGGTTGATTTTATATTTATTTTAAAGTAAGATATAAGTAAATGGGAGTAAAACAGCAGCAGCTCTTAAATTAGCACAAAAGGTCCGATCGAAGTTCATCCGCACAGCTTTAATAAATCATTCTGCCGTCACTTAATCTTGCATTTAATCCCTAATTTCCTCTTTTTGATTCAAGCTCATTAAAACTTGAGTTTCACCCTACGAGGAGTCATCCAATCAGGACTCTAAGGACGTTTCATCTTGACGAGTTCATCAGTCTGAACTCCATGACGTGTTTATTGTTGTTGTTGTTATTGTCTCGTTGTCTCCAGCTTCCAGACGTCGTGTTGATCAAAGACGAAGACTCTGACAGCAACGACGCCTTAGAGGAAGGTGAGTGGGAGCGACGCGCTGGGTTCCTCAACCTGTGGGCCGGGGGTCCAGAGTGGGGCCGGCGGACGTCTCATCGCTGGGTCGACTTTGATTCATTACAAACATTTGTGACTCACAGCAACGCAGGTTCTGGTTCTGTAATTCAGAGACAATAATAATGTGATAATAAACGAGGAAGAGGAGGAGTCCAACTAACGTGTTTCCACCAGGAGCCGGTGGTCCCCTCGTTTCAATAAGAACGTTGTAGATGATTTATTCACTTAAACGACGATCTTCTCACAAACGTTGGAAATTTATTTTGAAAAGACTGGATTTATAAAACAAATGTTGCTGGTAAAAGTGCAAAATGTCTTATGAAGGTAGAGTTTTATTTCTACATAAATTGTCCCGTCTCTAAATCATTTACACATCAAACTGTCACAGGCTGTTGAGCTTTGAGGGTCACATGATCCCTCCTTCTCTTCTCCTAGACGACCAATCGGCGGCTGAGGGAGAGGGCGCCGCGTCGGGCGCCAAGAGGCGCTGGCCGGGGCCCGAGGGGGCCGGCAGGAAGTCCACCTCCGGCCCGCCGGCAGAGAAGAAGAGCGTCTACAGTCTGGACTCTCCGGGCAGCGAGCCGGGTTTCTCCGGTCGGCTCGACGGCGGCGAGATGGAGGCCGGCGAGTCGGCGTGCTCCTTCTCCTCGCACGTGGGGCCGGACGGCGCGCTGGTCCACCGGGGCCCCGGCAGGCCGGCGGCTTTCAGCGGCGGCTCCCTGACCGACGGGGAGCCGGACCTCAGCCCCACGTGGACCAAGCAGGCCAAGGGCCACGCCCCCTTCGCCCACTTCCACCCACACGAGGACCCGGACGCCGACGCCTTCGGCCTCAAGATGGTCAGCGTCACGGGCTCCATCCCCGCCGACTGCCAGCTGTCGGAGGGCAGCGGCTCGGCCTTCGAGTACGAGGACGGCGACGCGCTGGGCTTCGCCCACTACCGGGACCCGGTGGGCGGAGCCCAGCCCGGCGGCGCCCGAGGGAAGCGCTACGTGTGCCCCGTGTGCTCCAAGACCTACGCCACCTCCCAGAACCTGGAGGTGCACATGCGCATCCACACGGGCGAGAGGCCGTTCTGCTGCAGCCAGTGCGGAAAGAAGTTCACCCAGTCGGCGCACCTCAAGTCGCACCTGAGCGTCCACTCCGGCGAGCGGCCGCACGCCTGCGCGCTCTGCTCCCGCAGCTTCATCGTCAAGTACAGCCTCAAGCTGCACATGAGGAAGTGTCACGACCGCGTCCTCCCCGACTGAGCTGATGGACGCTCAGACGTCTGCACGGACACGTCGTAAATCGGTGGACAGGCGTCTGAAACTGACGACTCGCAGCGAGCAGATTATAAACCAGACTTTTAAGGAGATATTTATAGTTATTTTAGAAAGTGGAGAAAAGAAAACGCATCGCAGCCTCCTTTTTATTGAGTTGTTAAGTCTGTCGTTGGTAGTTCTGTATAAAGCCAAAAGACAGTTGCGTGTGCACCGTGGTTAATAAACCTAATCATAAAAGCCTTCTGTATCAGTTGATTTGTTACAGGACGGATCAGCGCTCTAACGGACTCAGAAGCTTGTTTATATGTGTGTATTATAGAAGTGATTCGTACTTTGGGTCAATGCTTTGACACCTCGTCCAACTGGGTCTTTTTCTCTGATGAAGGACCCTGAATGTTTAAAATCCTCCACCAAGCTCCTAATGACACAATGTGTATTTATATATATATATATATATATATATATATATATTTATATAAAAAGCAACATAAACACAGACGGTATTTGATCTTAAATAAAGAGCCAGACTGAATGTGCTCATTCTCCGGGGACATTTCGCGCATGCGCAGTCGGGTCCGCGTCGTCGTCCGGCCACCACATCACTTCCGGGTTCGAGTCGGTTCTGTTTACATCGGGTGGGAAACGGGAACGAGCACGTTTCCGTTTGTTCGGGTCACTCACGAGCCTCTGGGTCGGAACGTCCCGTCGTGCTCGCGGCGGCTCGTCTGTCGTCGTGGTGTTGTTGTTGTTGTTGTTGTTGTGAAACATGTCTCCGGCCGCCAGCTTCCCCGCGCAGCTCGCTTCCATCATGGAGGCGCTGGCCAACGCCGCCGTGGCGGAGATCTGCGCGCTGGTGGACGGCGGCTACGCGGCGCTGCAGCTCGAGATCTCCCGCAGCCGCCGAGAGAACGAGGCGCTGAGGAGGAAGCTGCGGGCCGCCCGGACCACCGGACCCGGGCTCCGGCCCACGGGACCCGGCATCCGGGCCACCGGACCCGGGCTCCGGAACACGGGACCCGGCATCCGGGCCACCGGACCCGGGCCCAGGAGACGCGGATCCCCGGGAGGTAAACGGCGGTCCGAACGTGTATTATTGTGCTCTATATTGATTTATTTTATTGGCTTAGTATTCGAACATGTCAATCATCTTCTTTCTTCATTTAATGTGACTCATGAATAGAGGAGATAAAGTCATTGTATGTCATCATTTGTCATCATTATGAGCAACGGTGCGAGGTCCATAACGTCGCGTTGACTGACCCCCCTCCCAGGCGAGGTGGTGCGCTCCACGCCGTCCCACCAGGAGACTCCACGGTGCCCAGACTCTGGACAAGAAGCCCCACCGGGGACGAGAGAGACGACCACGCTGACGGACGCAGTGATCAAGGTGGAGGACGAGGAGGAGGAGTCCTGGTCCCGCCCCCAGCAGGACGGTGAGGACAGTGACCAGCAGGGGGCGACTCCTCTGCTCCCATAGACGTCTATGAGGAAATGACTCTACTTCTCTGTAGTGACCAGCAGGGGGCGACTCCTCTGCTCCCATAGACGTCTATGAGGAAATGACTCTACTTCTCTGTAGTGACCAGCAGGGGGCGACTCCTCTGCTCCCATAGACGTCTATGAGGAAATGACTCTACTTCTCTCTTGATTTATTCCCTCAGTAAACATTGTAAACATGAGTTTATGGTCTCAGTCTCTGGTTTCAAGTTGTATTCAATGCAGCATGATGTTCATTTAGTGAATGATGGTCCATTTAGAACAGATCATAAAGTGGGGGGCGCTTTAGGGCGGGGCTACACGCTGATTGACAGGTCTATCAGAGACGTACGAGCCGACATTATTATAATTATTTTAGTTTGTGTACCAATTGAACTGCTTTGGTAAAAGCAATAAGCATTTTACATTTTGCTTCCGTCTCTCTGCAGAAGACTTTTGCCAGGTGGTTGATGAGCAGGTGCTGGAGACACAAGCCCCGCCCCCGCTGACCAAACAGGAAGTAGCGGACAATGGCGTCGGTTCGTCTCGGACCTGGACGAGCGCGGACGTTAGTTTAAACGCCGCATCCGCCCAAACAAACAGCGGCGGCTACGACTGCCTGATGTACGAGCCGCCGGTCCAACACGCCCTCGTTACCCAGAATCCTTTGAGTGAGGATCCCGGCTACGCCTACACGCTGAACGCCGGCGCCAGTGTTTCCGCTGCGTCTGACTCCGTCATCGGCGCTGACGACGACGACGACGACGGCGGCTTCACCTTCACCGTCACCGAAGTGGTGAGTCTGGCGGCGGGGGCGGAGCACCAGCACCGCGCCGGTCTCCACGGCAACCAGCCAGGAGCGCCGCTACCGGCCACGAACCCTCGGCTTCCCGCGGGGAGGGAGTCGACGGAGCGGCTCCACGCTCGCGAGCGAAGGGACAGGTGGAGGACGCAGGACGGCGGCGCCAAGACCTTTAGCTGCAACTTCTGCGGGAAGACTCTGGCCTGCCTGAAGAACCTGAAGACCCACATGAGGGTCCACACGGGCGAGAAGCCCTTCGTCTGCGCGCTCTGCGGGAAGCGCTTCGCCGACTCCAGCAACCTGAAGCGCCACCAGAGCGTCCACACCGGCGAGAAGCGCTACGGCTGCGTCCACTGCGGGAAGCGCTTCGCCCAGTCGGGGTCGCTGAAGGTGCACATGACCGTGCACACGGACTGCAAGCAGTTCAGGTGCACCTACTGCGGCAAGACCTTCATCTCCGGCAGCCACCTGCGGCGCCACGTCGCCATGCACGCCGGCGAGAGGACGTTCCACTGACCAGACCGAATGACCGCTGTCTAAAAATACAACGGACGTTTTCCACCGTGTTCACTTCTTGTCAACATCATCTGGGCTCGAGGTTTTTACCAGAGAACTTCTGACCTGCTCTCCATCCTGACGCCTCCGTGGGACCTGTGACCCTTTATGGTTGTTCACCCTGAACAAGAGGCAGAGCAGCTGGTCCCGACTGCATCAAGCAACTGCAAAACCTCAACGTAGCGCACTTCAAACATGTTCAATTATCAAACGTAATTTACCTGCATTCGATTGATCTTTTCCAGTATCAGTGCATTAGAATCTAGTATATTTTTCTGTTTGTACTCCCCGACGTAGAGGAACCTTTTCTAGTGTTTTCTATAAGTATTAAATGCTCACCCTCCCTTCTAGAACGTGCAGGAGTTCCATGTGGACCAAATCCACTCAGCAGGTGTCTTCACTGACAACTTCCTGTCCTCCACCTGGGTGGGCGGAGTCATCGGTGGGCGGAGTTGTTTTCTTAATAAAATGTGCGTGTTTGAAATAGTTTGCGCTCTCTCAGCTGTTTGAGTGTAAACAGTTCGCCATGTTTACATTTTGAGATGCATTGAGGTTTTATTTTATTATTTATTGTCATTTAATAAAAGGTGATTTGTTAATTCTTCATCTGTGAGCAGCTGTTGTTTCGTATGTCGTCTTTAATACACTTTAATGATAATAAAATAATTTCACTGCTCACGTTCTTGAACAGTCAACTTGTATGTTTCTGTTTGCCGTCATTTCCTCCAGCAGTTCTTCACCTGTAAGCTGACTTCTTTTTTACGCTGCAGTCACAAATACACGTCTGGCTTCATATTTAGTCCTTTAATGGGTGAGGAATGTTCGCTTTGACTTGAAACAAGAATACTGTAAAAAAAAAAGGGTCTCTGAAGGCGGCGCCATCGACAGGCGACTCGTCCTCAACAAAGACATTCAGACGTTTTACTGGTTCAACAGAGAAAAAACAGACGACTCATTGATTCACATCCGAGTCGTTGGTTCTTCTTCAGGTCACAATAACACGTTCAAACACAAACATACGTGGAATAAAAAAATGGACAGATATAATGTGATATAATGTGTATAGAGGATCATATTTCCATCAATGGGAACCAGTGCAGTCATTCGTACCTACAAACCAGAGCTTATTATGTTTGCTTCATTCAAGAAAGTTCATATTAAATATGTTTTTCTTTCCATTTGCAGTACATTTGATATTTTACAACACTTCACAAATTTAAATTATTATTTAAAAGAAAACCGACAAACTTGATCCTCATAACTTTGATCATTTAAAGCTGCATGTTTCTGGCCACCAGGGGGCACAAGAACCCACCTGTTATCCACACATTCAGTATCTACTTTATATATATATTCATTGTATATATACACGAATAAAAGTCCAGAATTAACACTTTTCGCTCTGCTTTGGTCTCCAAAATGTGGCTCATATTTTCAGCCATAAAACCCAAAAGCTTCTTAAAGCTGCAGAGTTCATTTCTCTCATGACAGCCTATGATTTGATCCACTGATCAAATCTATTGACGAATGCAGCTTTCAATGCAAAGTGATAAGTCGTGCAGAGCTGCATACAAAATATTAGTAACATAAGGATTGATTTCCTGAATCATTCATCACATTTGGCACTTTGAGTGAATAAAAACAGACGATTCAGAAACTCTAAACTAGTTAAAACAGAGATTCTTAACTCATGGTGATTATAAAGTTATGAATATTATATTCCCCTAAATGCATCACAGGTTCTTTATGTCAGAAACTGGTAGTGAGGGTGATTCTTACATGACATGAATGTGGCATGATAATTACAGCTAATTTATGTAAATAGATCCATTAAAATGAACCAGAAAAATGTAACTTTATAAAGCTGGAGAGAACCTGTTGTTCTTTTTCATTTATTAACAACACTTTATTTCCTGATGCAAAAGTGGATTTTCCTTTTCCTCCAATCACCGATCAATACAAACCGCTCGTACTGATCGGGCAATTTAGAGCATTTTTCTTTTGCTACAATAGTTTTAAACTAGTCTCTTATAGCACAAGGATTTAAAGAGACAAATATAAGTGCGTTCCCTTTTTAAAAATAAACTAACATAACTTTTATTCAACAGGACGCTGCAATAGAAACCACCCGTCTGAGGGAGGAGTGTGCTGGGCGGCAATACACACCTGCTAAACTAAGCTAAGCTAGGCTAAGCTAGGCTAAGGTAGGCTAAGGTAGGCTAGGCTAATCAGGTGCTGATTCAGCTCCATAGACATGAAAGTAAAATCCATTTCTACACCAAATTTCAGAAAAAGGTGCTTTTTTTAAAACATGTTAGCGCTCTCTTATCAATTTATCTGACACGTTTGATATTGTTCGATATTTCCAGCTACTGCGGCTTAAATGTGTCAGCAGCCAAAAACATTCACATTTTAGATCTAAAAATCTTTCCAAACGCAGAAAACTCCACCCGTCTGCTGCGCCCTGTAGGACAAATCAAACACTGAGAATTCCCTCTGAATCACGTTGTGTGTCTGCACAGCTGGCTGACAGTGAAGGCACTAAACAGGCTTTTACTTTGAAAGGCTCCAGAGAACTAAACTCATTTGACATGAAATTGAAATAGCAACACGTGAGGTTTGTTACCTGCTGCTCCTAAAGCTCCACACGGACCGAACGTGTGTCATCCGTCACTTACTTCATCAAGTTAGGAAGGATTAACATCTGATTGGTTTCATCGTAAGAGGTAGATTATGCAAAACAACTTGTGGGTGTCATTGGAGTCCTTGGCCCCGCCCACTGACCTGTAAACCAGGTGACATCCACAAACGCAACGCTTCTTTTAATGCATTTTGTAAATACTAGAAATTTATAAAATTTATGTCACAACTCAATCTAGGAAGCCACAATACAGATTTCCACAATAAAATCGGAGCTAGTGCAGCTTAACTGTACTGTTACTTCTTTCTTCTTTAATTTTGGAATGAGACTACTATTAATATTAATTAATAAAATGTTATTCTTCAGGGAGATAAATGGCTTTTATCTTCTGGGTTGATCAACCAGAACTTCAGGTGTGTGTTCTGCATTTGATCATTTTAGATTTCAGTCACAGCTCTTATTTTGAAAATAAGTGCTGTCGGACCTCAATTGGTTCTCCAGGCGAGTTTCAGTCTGAGGCCCAAAAAGCACAGAAGACACATTTACATCAGGACAACATCCGGTCCATTTGGATGCTTTGATCATAAACTACAGCAACTCGAGTTAACGAGTTAATGACGAGTTAACTTTGTCATTTTACAACCAGCACGCGGTGGGACTTCTATGCGTTTTATACTCGGCGCTCCAACACGCGACGCCGTGTGCATTGAAAGGGCTCAGCGCTTAAAACTCTTCTTTAAGACGGACTCACACTTGAAACACTTCCTGTTCCTCCTCTACGCCGCCGGCGTCCCTCACTCGTTCCCTGGCGTGATGTCCTGTAAACGACAGAGGGATGAGAGGCGGCTGCTGCCAGTGGACAGAGGACAGAGGACAGGGGACAGGAGACGCTTGGACTCACCTCCGTCTTCGCCTTCCTCCACTCGGCCATCGGGCCCGACCTCGTGACGACTGAAGAGACGTAGAAGCACAAAAAGAAGCTTTTAGCACGAAGACTCGTCGGTGAAGACGAGATTCTACGGAGGCGTCTTCATCTTTTGAGGAATATTTCCTGCTGAGTGACGGATTCTTGTCCCGGGATACTTACACATGAGCGCTGAGATCGCCACGAGCGCCGCCGAGGCGACGACCGCGCTCCACAAGGGACGCCTGCAGGACGAGACCATGTCCTCATTGCACAATGTGTCCTCACTACACAACGTGTGTGACCTCATGAGGCTGAAGGCTGACGTTTAACATGTAGTGACGTTAGCACCAACCAGCATTATTACTGTTATCTGTTCTAAGGGATTCAAAAGAGATGCTGAGAAATGTAAACGCTTTACCCAGAGTGCAGAGCGGTGAGGATGAAGACGATGAAGATGAGAAGAAGAGCCTTCATCGTTGACCCTGAAACCCCAAAACAAACAAATACATTAAAAACAACAAGCTCTCATTCAAACTGCCCTTTAGCATTTAGCATTTAGCAAAGACAATGCAATGAGAAAGTGAAAGGTCGATAGATGGACGGCTGCCACTCACCTGCGCGCTCAGGTGAGGACGGACAGCAGCTGAAGTCAGCTGAAGGAGGCGGGACTTCAGAGAGGCCTCCCAGCGACTGGGTGATGAGCTCTTTTGATCGACACGTCTCAGAACAAATCTCCTCCTGGAGGAGTGGCTTCGGGGGCGGGGCCACTTTGTCTGGAGGGGGCGGGATCTCAGTGTGGTCTGAAAAAGAAACAAATATATAAACACTGAGGTTTGGCTGTGGGACTTTTTTAGAAACTTGATGTTGTCAAACATCCATTTTAAATAAGTATGTAATGCAAGTCGCTTTGGATAAAAGCGTCAGCTAAATGAGCTGTAATGTGATGTGATGTCACAGACAAGAAACAAGATGGCGACGGTCCATTCGATCCCCTCGTGACTCGTCTCGAGGCTCCTCCCACAATTACCCACCGTAAGTGAAGTGGCGGCTGTCGTCCAGCTCGGTGCTGTTAAGTCCGGACCAGGATGACTCGTCCAACGAGGCTGGTCCTTCCTGGTCCTGGTCCCGGTCCCGGTCCTGTCCCTTCCCGAACACGCCTCTGAAGACTCTCTCGTCCAGCCACGACTGGCAGCTCTCCGTGACGTCGCTCAGCAGGCGAGCCAGAGCGCCGCGAGGCCGCCGGCGCCGCCGGAACACGCTGAGGAACAGGAAGCGAGTGATCACATGTCACGTGATCGAGTGATCACGCGTCACGTGACCGATCTGTCGGGATCCCCCAGCCGCTCTCACCGGACCGGGTTCTCCTTGTAGGACACGCTGGTCCTGCAGGGGGTCAGCGACACGTTGCCGTCCTCGTCCCGGGAGAAGCTGTCCTCGCTGACGCCGTAGTACCCGTTGAGGAGGAGGCGCGGCGAGCGGCGGCAGGAACACGGGGCGCCGCCCTCCGCCGCCGGGTAGCAGACGTAGGAGGAGTCCGGGGAGAGCAGGGAGGCGTCGAGGCTGCGGAGACGCAGTGATGTCACATGACGGGTAAGAGGACACTATCTGGACCGGATGTCCAACCAGGAGTTCTGTCACAAACGTTCCTCCGAACATTAAATGAAGTTTCAAAGGTTTTTGCTCCAAATCACACGACCCACATTAAATAGATCTCATGTTTTTATCCATGAAACGTTGAGTAAGGATTGTGAATAGTTTACGAACCAAATGAAAACCAAAAGATATCCAGTTGATTAAGAGACTAAAGACATACATTGGACTCATAACGGTTCTTATCTGCAGCAAGTTGTAAATCAGCTTATTTAAGGGAAATCACACTTTCTTGTTTCTTGCTCTTCTGAGTTTGTGTCCTCATGGTTGAAATGTTCTGATTGTAAGTCGCTTTGGATAAAAGCGTCAGATAAATGATGTGTGATGTAATTATGAGAGAAGAAAAAGCATCTCAGCTTCAAGCAATAAGTTCTATCAATCGACCAATGAATCAATCATTTAAGCTCCTTTTCACAAAGAAAATATCAGAAACTGAATTCATATAACAAACAAACTTCACCAGTTCATCACTACATTAAGAGCAGCCTTCATGGTGACGCAACACGACACGTTTAAATACGCAGGTATTAACTAATGGCGACATTTGCTCAATTTAGGAGAAATAAGAGACAAAGTTCTTCTTTAAGAATGAAATGTAAAATATATTTGAGCACGATTTGTTCTCCTGAGCTGTAAACTAAAGTATAGAATAAATAGAGGCTCTTACCTCCTGCAGTGATCCACTCGCAGCTTTCCTTTTATTGGGGAACCTGAAACAGACCAAAGACCTCATGAGAAGCTGATTTAATATATATATATATATATATATATATATATATATATATATATATATATATATATATATGTGTGTCTGTGTGTGTGTGTGACGTACTTGTAACAGCCGTGGAGAAGAACATCTTTTCCTTTCGTCTTCCTGTGAAATGCAGTTAGAATTGTGATTATTAATATATATGAATAATATAGAACTCCGCAGCGCATTGGTCCTCTCCTGGATCCCCCTCACATGTCCGTCCCCTCGGCCCCGCCCACCGCGGGTTTCCCAGCATGCCTTGCAGCAGCTGCCTCTGGCCGAGCTGTGGTGTTGGAGGAAAAGGCGTAGCAGGAAACACAAGATGGAGCAAACCATTCCTCCATCAGGAGGGAGACATAACGGACTTTATATTAAATCATCATCATTATTCTCTAATAATCTTTATTCAACATGAATCATTCTGAGCTTTAAGGCTTCTTAATAATAAACGTGTTAATAATTATGAATGTGTGATGAATGTGTATCCTCATTTCTTACATGCGATTATTTACTATAAGATGAACTTCTCATAGTAAAAACCTCAGTAATGTTCTTGTGTTGTTGTGACTAAAGTTATTTATAGCTGCCACATTCCTGACATATTTCCATGATAAGATAAAAACTCAAACTACGGAACATTACAAAACAACCTGCATGGGAGTTACGTCATCATTCATCACTTTGAAGGTGAAACGCAAATGTTCATCAAACTATTGTTTCTATTATTCCAGTGACTTTAAACAAAGGCAGAACGGAAGTGAGCTCACCGGGACTTTTCCCGCACGTTTCTCTGCCGGAAGTGAAGAAAACAGCGACTCTTCCTCACAGGTCTTCTTCTTCCAATCCTCCTCTTCTCTTAAATGTTGGAGTGAACCTGGATTCTGTCCTGGAACCAAAGACCTGCAGCTCGGAGCTCCACACCGGAAGCACCGGCTGTCAAAGTAAAGCACGACACCTACAACCTCCGGTCATCGCTTTCAAAGTAAGAGCGTGAAGGTAGATTGTAACATTCAGAGGATCGATACAAGAAATTGTGGTTAAAATATGAGTGGTTTTAATATTCATCATCATTGCGTCATGGAGGCCTTGATGTGTTCGCTGCAACTTATTTACACTATTTGATAATTATGTAATGTTAATATATTAATAATAAGATGATGTAACCATTTTAAGTTTTTGTGCTTTGAGTTTTAGGTTCAATCCTCTATGGACTCATTCCCAAGGGAATTACCCACAAGTCATTGCAGTATGACGTTAACGGGACAACCAGTGAGCGTGTAAAAGAAGCCAAACAAAGACGCACACGTGTGTTCACACAGACATGTTTTATACATGTATACATTTAAAACATTAAAGTTGGAAGAAAACAAAGACAAATTCCTTGTATGTTTGGCATATTTTGGTTATAAATGTTTCCTGATTCCTGACATGAAATCAGACGATGTTTACTAATTTATTTATCAAATATTTAAATTTGTCATTGAAGCCATTTTGACAAAAAACAGTAAAACATCATTTAAAATGACCTCATCTTATGAGGAAAGAGTCTGATATTAAAAGAATGAAATAAATACAACTATGGTAGTTGTAAATCCTATTTTAGACGTTGTCATGGTGACGGGACATGTGGCAGCCAGCTGATTTCCCTTCATATTTACACCATTTAAAGCCCTCACAGAGCTTCACACTCAACCACTGACCTGGTCCCTGAGGGGTCAGGGGTCACGGGGACATTGGGCCTTTGACTTTCGTCTTCTTCTCTGCTGTGCGACAACTTTTCCTCCAAGGACGCATTTAAACTGAAAAAGGAAACATAAAACACAATCACGACAGTACGAATGTTGACGCCTCGTCTTTGTAACCCTCATCGAGAGATTTCATTTAATATTTGTTATGGAATTGTTCATTACTAACCCTTCTTTTTCTATGTTGCATCCGGATTGGGTCCCGTATTTTATTTTGAAGGGGGGATGCCAGAACTTCCCACAGCATCCGGTGTATTAGTACTCTTACTGTAACAGTATGTATACTGTGTGGTGTTAGTACTCTTACTGTAACAGTATGTACACTGTGTGGTGTTAGTACTCTTACTGTAACAGTATGTACACTGTGTGGTGTTGCATCATGGGACACACAACTTCTACCTTCAACCCTTCACATGAAGAAGAGCCTGCTGCTCAGTGGCTCCAGAGCAAGAAGTACACTAATAACAGTACATTACATTAAGAAGGAAGTAATCAAACCGATAAAGTATCTTCCCTAGTGTACTACCCCAACAGGATCAACTCTCTACTCACCAAAACAAACACATCATAGTACACATCAACATTTATTTCAGCTTCATACACAACAATTATTTTAAAATCTGTTAAAAAAAACATGGGACATTCAGGTCAAAGATCCAAATATTTTTATAAGTATCAAATATATAATTTCTTTAAACTTCAGACATATAAGTGTCTGAAGTTTAAAGAAATTAATTTACAAGAAGTTTAGAGCTGGAAGGGCCGTAGTGGAGGCGGAGCTAGGAGAAGGGCCCGTAGTGGAGGCGGAGCTAACAGAAGGGCCGTAGTGGAGGCGGAGCTAGCAGAAGGGTGGAGCTAACAGAAGGGCCCGTGGTGGAGGTGGAGCCAGCAGAAGGGCGGAGCTAACAGAAGGGCCCGTGGTGGAGGCGGAGCTAGCAGAAGGGCCCGTAGCGGAGGCGGAGCTAGCAGAAGGGCCCGGCGGCGGGCTCCTGGAGGTTGGTGGCGTGCATGTCCCGCGTCATGTTGGACTTCTCCTTCAGCTTGGCCTGCAGCAGCGTGTGCTCCACCACGCCGATCCTCACGTCCATCTGGAGGACCTCCTGCTTCAGCTTGGTCAAACTCTGCTTGATCTTCACAACTGGAGCTGGAGGACCAACGAGGACAAAGGGTCAGGACCGAGCACGCAGACACACACACACACACACACACACACACACGCACACACACACGCACACACACAGACACACAATCAGTCATCACCTCCATCAGACATGCTGCTGCCCTTTTCCTCCATCTCCTGCTTCACCCTCTCCAGCTCCTCGCTGATCTGAAACAGAGACGCTGCAGAGTTCTCAGAGCTTCCTTCATGAACCAGATTCATGTCAACAATAAGAAGGAGGAGAGCTTCTGCTGCGTGATGCGTTCACTGACCCCTGCCAGGACTCGGGTCCTCTCAGTCAACCCCCCACTGGCCTGCTGGTAGCGCTCTTTAGCCTGCCGGGGGACACGGGATTCGTACTCGGCTCGTTAAGAGGAAGGAGAAGAAGAAGCTGAGCACGCTCAGCTTCTTCTTCTCTGGTAACCGGGGTATCGTCAATGTTCCCTTTATTTCTTAATACAATATTTATTATTATTATTATTATTATATCAAAGGGCTAACAAACACGGTTTGTAGCACATCTGTAGCCGTGCAGAGGGGAGACACATCTGGAGATCGTTACCTCACTGAGCTTGGCCTGAGCGCCGCGGTGCTCCTGGATCAGATGCTCCAGCTGCCCGTTGATGTACTTCTCTCTGCTGCTCACCTTCTCCAAGGTCCTGCTGATGTCCTCCTGCAGCTTGTCCAGGTAGCTCTGAGGAGACACCAGATGACGGACAGGACTCGTTCATCTACACCTGTTATATCATCTCTCTCTTTATCTTCTCATTGCTTCTACTGTTTGCAAACATGGAAAGTGCTAAACAAGGAAAAAAAGAGAGGCTGAAGGGTGGGTGACATCATCCCTCCCCTCAGAAGATCAGGATGAAGACTGCGGCGCTTGTGTCCTACGTCTTGCTCTGTCTGAGTCTCCTCTCCTTCCTTCCTGCTCACCTGTATCCCCATGTAGCATCTCGCCCTCGAGACTAAAGGGGAGGAGCCACAGACACTGAACGCACCTTGGCCTCCTCGAGCGAGGACTTGATCCCGTCTCTGTGCTGATGCATCTGGTCCACGTGGATCCTCCAGTCCTGCAAAGACCGATCCGACAGGTTTATTAAACAGGTTTGTCTCATCTTACGGGGGGGCCGGCTCAGGTACCTTGTTGTCGGTCCTCACGGTGACTTTCAGCTGGGGGAGAACTCGCTCCACCTCCAGGCTCCACTCTGCCGCGTCCACCGTCGCCTCCAGGATCTCGTCCGGTTTGGAGGACGTCTCTGTTTCCTGCCGGAGAGAAACGCGTCCCGTCACTAAGGGCTGCAGGGTGTAATTGAGGATCTGTGAAGGTCTGTGAAGGTCTGTGAAGGCCCCCCCACGTGGACTCACAGGGTGGCTGGTTCGTAGCTTCAGAGCCTCCAGGTCCATCACGTTCTCCTCCTCCTCCTCCTCGTCAGGCTCCTCCTGAGAGAAACACATGAACGACCTTCACTTCTGGAAGCATCCAACGGGCCTCATCTCATTCTACTCTTCATCTCAAACTTTCCTAAAGGTCTTTTCTTTACATCCTGAGGAACAAGACGCTCCGGTGAGTCGCTACTAAAGCCTCCAAAAGCCTCCACGTTGAATCCATCAGCTTTCTTTGAGCAGATATTTCTAGACGGTTACAGATTGTATTTTAATATCTGCTACAGGTTTCTACCAGCTCACAAATATCAATGTGCAGACACCCTGTTGGTTTCCTATTGTGGTGGCTTCTGATAAAAGGTTTCATCTCTTCTCATTGGACTCCAATCCATCAGACTGAGGAAGTCAGCTGCCTCAGAGGGGGACAATCTGCTGGTGGCGATGGGTGGAGCTCTTTGAGGACACCTACGATCATCTCCTCCTCCACTCTGCTGAGCGTCAGCTCGGCGTCGTCCTCCATCACGGACTCTTCTTCTGTGGTCTCTGCCGGGTAGTTTGGTCTGGAGGAAAGAAAAGTGAGGAGAGCACAATCATCTTCTCTGTGGCCTCCTGTGATCATTGCGGGGGGTCACTGGGGTTTACGCCACGCGGGACCCTGGAGATTTACATCCTTAAGATTCATCGCCACAGCTAAATATCAGAACGTGACCTGAAAACATCGCAATGAGATCTTTGGTGCCTCTCAGGAGGAACCCAGCGGGGGACCAGAGAGGAGGTGTTAGTACCTCCTGAAGGAGAAGCCCCGCCTCGTCAGAGCCTTTTCAGCCAGCTGGTCCAGCACGAAGCAGACGTGTTCGCCCGAACCCGCCTTCAGTTTGGAGGGCGGGAAGTCCACCTTGACCCCCTGACGGACACAGCGGCGGGACAAATGAGACGCAAGCGTTAAAAACCAGCGCTTCTAATCGTATGTCAGCTGATCTGAGGTCAGAGGTCACCCTGCCACTCACCAATGCCCTGAGCTCTGCCAGGATGTTGGAGACGGTGGCGTTGGGTTCGTCGTACTCCTGCGGCTCGGCGAACGGCCTCCCCGCCTCGTTGATGAGCCACGCGGCGATGATGGTGAACGTGTAGAACTGCTCGCCCGGGTTGGAGGACAGGAACGGACTGGAGACAAAGTAATGCCTGGGACGAGGGGACGACAGAAATACAACACGATCGTCATTTGTTAGAGGTATTACACATGTGAAGGTTATTATATTAGATTACACCAGCGCAAGTTAAAAGTACTCTGTTGTCTGTGTATTTATACACAGTGTTGTACTTTATTGTGGTACACTTCTCATACATTCGTACTGTTCAGATTTTTATTTTATTGTGTTGGTATTTGGACTCGGGACGAATCATACAAATCAAAGTTGTTTTTTAACATATTTATAACATTAAAGTAAAGAAGAGCAGGTTCATACACATTTTGACCAATGGATTTCCATGACCAAACATTTTGTGACATTTATACAGGAAAAAGTGAGAAAATGTAGTATTTAAACTAACAATGAGAATTCTAAGGCATACACAGTGTTTTAACGTTTACAATTATCCACATGGGATGAGTATCGTTTCTGCTTTATTTTACTTCCAACTATGAACAATTCCATGACCGTACGAACCCTGAAAAGAGATTATTGTAGAATATCGTTTAATTGAAGTTAAATAAATGAGGAAATATGTGTGGATTCCCTGTGATTGGAACAAAATAACAAATTCTCACATTTACTTTGATACACATTGAGTCTCAACATCTGTCTCACCAGATGTTTGTTGTTTGTAGCCATTGTAAACCCTACCATTATAACAGGGGGTCACCCCCCCCCCCCCCAAAAGTGTGCAATAAAAAAAATTGAATATCACTAAACAAGTACATGTATACGCTTATAGTTATTTAAGGTATTGGTTTATATCAATGTTATACATCAAATACACATAAATATATCAATTTGCTGTTGATTTTTCTTTTGTAAGTATAAACAGATTTTATCCTACAAGTTGCATTCTAGCAATCACACAACAGCTGTAATCAAAACACAGTGACAATAATCAATAAACTCTTTAGGAGATAATTAATGGTGATTATCAATCGAACAGATAAGACTAACTTGCGTCACGGTGACGTCATTGCTCACCTGGAGAGACTCTTCATGTTGTGCTTGGTCAGGACTTCCTCTTCGTAATTCAGCACCTTCAGCTTCTCCAGCAGAAACTCCATCACGACGAACCCCCGGTGTGCGGCTCCGGGGCCGCGGTCGTCTTCTCGTCTGCCGTCGTCCGCCATCGTCTTACCTCCGCTCGTTAGCATCCGCTAGTTAGCTAGCCAGTTTGTTTTGGCTTCCTCTCCCGTTGTCAGGCAACGGAGAGCTAAGCTAGCGCGAGCCGGTCAGGTGGCTGCGAGCTAGCCGCCCGCGAAATTGCCTTTCAAATTTATTTCCAGGACTCGTCGAGGATGAGATTCACATTTTGTAGGAGTGTTAGTGACGTGCAGACTTTATACACCCTCAGTGGGAGTAGACTGAGGAAGTTACATTAGCTAACGCGACTTGCTAGCTGTTAGCACTGCTGTTTTCTCAACACCAGCGTCAATGGTTTTCCGGCGTGTGACCTCCGTAATAAAAGCGTCCCGGAAGTTGTCCACGCTTTTCAAAATGCGAGCTAATAAACTAACAACTGACATTATTTCCAGGCGTAAACTTTACCCATCCACACAAAATAAAATCAATATCCAGATTTAAGAGTCCGAAATAAAATAGTTGACAAAATAATGTAATAATACTTCTGGTTGTAGGTACATGTTTTAGTTACTTGAACATACTTAGAAAATATTAACCTATGAAGCTCCTTGTTAAACAAATCACAGTTAGATTGAACTACACACGATGAGGTGATAACCATCTTCCACTCAAGTATTTTACAGCTTTAAAATATATTTATTATGCCTGTCAAAATAACCACATAAATCAATGCAAAGGAGAAAAAGGATGTCCTCAACACTGCACTTCTACTCTGACACGTGAACATTTAGATCATTTTACGTATGTAACATCTTAGAAAGAATAAGCACAGATTTGATTGTAACAAAGTGTAACGTTTCCCTTTGTGTTATGGAGATGAAATCTTCTCACCGTGTCCTGCATACGCTGCCTGATCCACTGAAGCACGACACACAGTGTATTTGTACACACTCCAGTGGGGGGGGGTGTTTGTTTAATATGCATGCTGCTCCCTGCACACACAGGTGGAGCTTCCTGGTGGCTGTGTTTGATTGACAGCCCCCCCAAACACACACACACACTGCTGCACCGCTGATCGGCGAGACGCATCCAGGCTGCACAAAGTCTCCACGAGGCTGTGATGCAAACATATGGATCAAAAGAAATATTCACACACTTTGGAGTGGGGGGGCTCTGTCCTCCTCACAGGATGACATTTAAGATGCTGTGAGTGCATTTTTAGCTTAGCTTTGCACACAGGCAGCTGTCGTGGTCAGAGAGAAGCTGTCCAAGTGGATTCCTTCGTTCATAACATTCATTTGCGTCTGGTGCTGTTTCTTTTCATTTGACTTGCTATTGTATATTATTGTTATTCCCGGTGGTCTGAGGCCTTTGAGCGTGTGATTGGTTGTATGAGTGATGATGCTCCTGATGATTCAGAAACGTCTCCTGAATATTTCCTTTGCTGTGAGACAACGGTCACGTGAACCTGCAGTGAAGGTTCCTTTGTTTTTGTGCGCTTTTCATACATCATAAAACATCGTACTGGTTTCATGGGAACTTTATTTATAGAAAAACAAAAGTTTAAATGACACCACAGCTGTGTTTCAATAGAAAGAGATAAAACTGGATTGAGATGATTGTAAAAATGACAAAGAACTGAGCTGTTTTGAAAGATGAATAGAAGAGATCAAATCAAACCACATTCTGTCAATCTACTGCTTTAAATCCAGCATCCTCACTCACCAGGTGAAATAAACTCACTAACAGGAAGTGCAGAATGACAGAGCGCTGATTCACTGTGTTCACTAAACCTCAAGAGAAACTATGAATATAAAGCAGCTAAACTGGACAAACAAAAGGAAACATTCATAAGCCGCCGACACGTCGCTGAGAAGCGTCAGAAGTTCATCGCCTGCTGCTGGATGGAAGCGGAACCGGACAAAGACCCGTCGGGTCGACAAAACCACCAGAACTTTATTAGAATTCCAATGAAAACGGTTCCAAAGACAACAAATGAATCTGAAATGAACGAAGCAGAAGTGTTGAATTTTTCTGTGTGATGCAACCAGAAAATAAAATGATGATTCAAGGAGTCGACCTTCGGATGAGTGTTTTCATGACATTTGACACGTCTGGTGTTGCTTTAACGAGCGGTTGGGAAAAGAGTCGACCAATCAGCGCTGGCGACTTCATTTTATTCAATTAAACGTACTTCACTGCACTGGAATCAACCTCTTTATTCTGATCTCGTTTCTCTACATGCTCCATTTTTATCTAAACTATTTAAATCTAAATTATTTTATATCGTCTTCGATATATTTCATGTGGTAAATAATAACAATGAACTCGATGAACTCAGCGGTTCGTTCTTTTATTTACGTAGCTGTAATTTAATGCTAATCCGCTAACCGCTAACCCATATTTTAGTCCTTCGTGACCAACTCACTTTTCACCGTTGCGGTGCAATGAATGCTGGGTAACTTAGTCCCGGGCTTTGCAGTTTGTCTCCTTCCTGTTGACGTTGTTCTCTCGTTTCCTCTTCAGGCGCCTCAGAGACCAGCTGAGGCGCCAACCGACCACTTTCTATTCTTCTACCATTGGATGTGTAACTCCCTGGTTTGTGCACGTTCACGTTATATGTTCAAAGTTCAACATTCATCATCGCCCTCTGTGACCTTTTCTTTTCCTTCCAGCTGTCATGTAAAGCGCGCCTGCACTGTGACCCGGTGACCCGGTGACCATCTCAGACCTCTGTAAAGTCACTTCAGTCAACACCCTGAAAACAGACTTGAATAAATAACCAGCGTCGCATGTCGAGAACAAAAATAAACATGTGTCCGTCATCCACGCCGACCAATCAGAGACCCTTCCTCTGAATGCGCAGCGTCGCCTGCTCTCCTCCGATGTTCCTCCTCCCCTTCGCGGTCCCTTCCGATCTACTTCCCGTGATCCTCCTCCCCTATCCGGGTGGCGCCGGCCTCCTCCACCGGCCCCTCCCTCTTGGTTTCCATGGCGACCTCGGTGTAGGGGACCGGCTTCTCCTCGGCGGCGGCCTGGCCCTGGAGCTCGGCCTCGGCGCCCTCCTGCCCCTCGGCGACAGCCCTCTCCTTCTTCAGCTTGATGCGGAAGGTCTCCTTGTTCGGCGCCTTCTTGGCGATGTTCTCCTTCAGCCGCTCGCCGGACTGCTTCAGCCGCTCGCCGGCCTGGTGCATCCTGTCCCGCCGCTCCGGCGGCATGACCTTCTCGCCCAGGTGGTGGAACTTGGTGCCCAGGCTGCCTTTGGTTTTGTTCATGTTCTCCTTGGAGAAGGCGGCCTTCAGGGTCTCGCTGCTCTTTGCCATCGATTTCTTGATGCGGGCGGCTCGCGAGGGGTCGGCCTCCTCCACGCTCAGGTACTCCTCGTCGGAGGAGAGGTCGAGGGGCACGTCGTAGGTGTCGGCCTCCATCTCCAGCCCGTCCAGGCCGCATCCTTTGGGAGATTTGGTGACAGCGACTGATGGGACCTCGGCCTCACCCTGCAGAGAAGAAGACACAAGTGAAGGTGAGGACAACCAAGACCAGAAGAGGACTAAAATACATGCAACTACTCGTCTTATGTGATAACGTTCGATTCCCACGAGGACTAAACCGGACTCACAGAGAGGAACCCGTCTGCTGGTCTCTCCTCTCCATCATAGAGAAATACTACGCTGCTTGTTGATCCTCTTCAGAGAGTCTGTCTGAGCTGCAGCCTCCGGAAACACTCACGTCTTCATGGGATCAAGTTTTTCTATTTTTACAGACGAGGAGAAACTGAGACTCGGTGAGACAGGAAGTATCCGGTAGGAACACAAGATGGCGGCTATGACAATGACACCATCTGGTCTGTGCAGTCGATAAGGACTGAAATCTCATCAACTACTGGACGGCTGAGAAGAAATGTGGTCCAGACGTTCACGTTTTCGATTTAGGACTTTGGTAATCCTGTGAATTTCCATGAAAGTAATTTCATCATCTTCACGAATCAGGAAACATTTATTGCCAAAATATATCAGACATTCAAGGAATGTGACTTGGCGGTTGGTGCGTAACAGCACAACAACAGTGCACGAGGAATCAAATAAAATGAAAGGCTATGGGTTACTTTAAAATAAAAGAATAAAGTTAAAGCAAAAAATATTTTAAAATATTTAAAAATTAAAATAAAAAAATAAAGTGCAGTAGCGAACAGGAAGTGACAAAAGTGACAAGTGAAAAAAAGAAGAAGCTGCATGCAGTGACCAGCAGGGGGCGGCTCTCCTGGTCCTGTAGGAGATAATGACTTCTCTCTTGATTTATACCCTCAGTAAACACTGTACATTTTAACATCCAGTTTAATTCATTAATTAATTCCTGTGTAAATCACACTTTATAGAGGTGACTATCTTTCAGCTGATGTTTCTAAATGTTTCTTTAGGCTGATCGACTCACAGACTTTGCTACGCGTCTCTCGCCGCCCCAACGGAGGAAATGTCACCAAAGAAAACCCATTAACCGTCTGTGCCTGACGCCCTGTCCTCTAACGTTCGGCAGCTAGAGCCCCCCCCCCCCACCCCCCCCGCACACATTTATCTTTTTCTCATTACCGGCCCGGCCTTCATTAGTCAGCCGCCGGCCTCTGACAGACCACCTTGTTGCTTCCCGGTCAAAATGAAGCTCTATATTAGGAGATGGACGGAGGCCTCAGAATAAACCGACAGGGCATCCGTCACCAGGAAACTCCACACCACCGTCTCCTGGGGGGAGGGGGGGGGGGGCAGGAACACAGAGGAGAACCGGACTCTGGTGATATGATGGCCACCGGCTACGGTTACACGGATGCTCACTTATCCAGCATTATGCTGAATAATACATGACATGGTCTTCATCAAGGAGTAAAACCCGTGAGACACGTTGCTTTAGTTTATCTTTCACCAAACGTCACGTCTAACAAAGACAATTATCCTCAACGAGGTTACAACAATACTTACATTTCACTGTGTTACGCTCAATGGCTCCCGTGTTACAAACTTTGACCATTTAACGTGCCCCCCCCCCCCCTCCAAGAGCTCATTAACCCGTCTTTATTATTCATAGATCTTCAAATCTTTACACAACATTAGAAAACACTCATTTAGTGGGTCTGGCATTCTTACATTTTGAATGAATCTGAGCGCGGTCAGATTGATCGACCCCCCCCACCCCTCTACACGTTGACCCACATGATACAGAGGTTTGTAGCGTGACCCCCCCTGGCACGAGGGCCCAGAATAGTTCCCTCTGTGACGGATCCACAGCAGCTGTTAGCAGCACATAGCGGCCCGTTAATATTCTAACGCTGGGGGGGCAGAATCAACCTCGAACACGCCCGACTGCAGCATCGGGGGGGTTACTGCGATTTTAGTCAATTTTAAGTAAAGTTTACATGAGCAGATGTAAAGCTTCCATTAGTACATGTAAAGTTTACATCGGTAAATGTAAAGCTCACCATAGCAAATGTAATGTTTATATAAGCAAATGTAACGTTTATATTAGTAAATGTAAAGTTTATATTAGTAAATGGTTTATATTAGTAAATGTAACGTTTATATTAGTAAATGTAAAGTTTATATTAGTAAATGTAACGTTTATATTAGTAAATATAACGTTTATATTAGTAAATGTAAAGTTTATATTAGTAAATGGTTTATATTAGTAAATGTAACGTTTATATTAGTAAATGTAACGTTTATATTAGTAAATGTAAAGTTTATATTAGTAAATGTAAAGTTTATATTAGTAAATGTAAAGTTTATATTAGTAAATGGTTTATATTAGTAAATGTAACGTTTATATTAGTAAATGTAACGTTTATATTAGTAAATGGTTTATATTAGTAAATGTAACGTTTATATTAGTAAATGTAACGTTTATATTAGTAAATGTAAAGTTTATATTAGTAAATGTAACGTTTATATTAGTAAATGGTTTATATTAGTAAATGTAAAGTTTATATTAGTAAATGTAACGTTTATATTAGTAAATGTAATGTTTGTATTAGTAAATGTAAAGTTTATATTAGTAAATGTAACGTTTATATTAGTAAATGTAATGTTTGTATTAGTAAATGTAAAGTTTATATTAGTAAATGTAAAGCTCTTTGAGCCTCTGGTTTTAAAAGTAGAAAAATGCAAATTTAAACAAGTTTCAGCATTTTCATCACGATGAATTATCCTAAAATGTATGTATTTACTATTTAATTATGACGATATGATTTTTAAGTTTGTAAAAGGCCCCAACACAACATATTTTCTTACTCAATAACTCATTGCTTTATCACCTGATATATGGATTGTCCAAAATTGCATTTGGAAAATTATTCCGTCTTTGGGAAGCCGGGTAGAATCATTTATTCAAATCAGTCATTTGTGTCACAAAACTACAATAATTTTCTCTTGTTTCATTTATCAGATGAGTTTCTAGCTTTCTTACGAACGTTTCATGTATCTTTAACACTCACAATATCTTCATGTATAAAGGTACATAGATATTATGTAGATCTTGTTGGCAGGGACAGACTCCAGCCCCCCGCGACCCTGCATGCAGGATGAGCGGTTTGACGATGGATATTATATAAACATATAAAAACTAGTGAAAAGTAGGAAAACACTGGATTATATCCCTTTAATTATACTTTCCCAGGTTTGCTGGTAGTTTGAGATTGATTTTACAATAAGTGTTAATAAGCAAATTATCATCTGAGTGATTAAAACTATTAAAACAAACTTTAAACTCTAAAAATGAAACATAATTCAACGTTGATTTGTAAAACCTTTCGCTCAGATTGACAATGGCGTCGTTGAGCTTCCAGACCCGGTCCCCCGTCCCTCCGTCCTCAAGACGAGCTTCGCTTTATTTCCCACCAGGCGAGTCCTCGGGGACCCGTCCCCCTGCAGAGGGACCTTGAGGCCCCCGAGTGTAGTCAGACAGCCGCTAAGGGCCGATGGGCACGCGTGACCTGATTAAGGTGGAGAAAGTGGGTGGGTGGTGTTGGGGGGTGGAGGGCTCTTCTCTTCTCCTCGTCCTCTTAATGAATCAGACGTCGCTCGGCTCCAGGTTCGTGCCGTTTATTTTCCACTTAATTGGGCTCCAGTTGCTCGTAGGCGGAAAACTGGACCGGATGGAACCGGACCGCAGCGCGTCCAGATACATACAGTATATATAGATATTTATATTTATATCTTTACACTCCTCATGCAACACACAGCCCTCTGCCACAGCTGCAGACGGGGGGGGGGGCATTCCTACTGAGGGGGGGTCTTAGTTTGACGTTGTGCACCAATCAGGATTCAGCATCATGTGAATTAGAATGTGATCGGAGTCTCTTTGTCATCTCCTGTTGCTAGGAGACCGTTGATATTTTCATGACCGTATACGGATTGTTGTTTAAGCAGCACTGCAGATTTTCAGGGATTTTATGGAAGATTTAACATATTTGCCACTTGTAAGTTGATCTAACGGTTGCTGACCTTTAAAGCGTTCATACCAGGTTTGCATGTGCTCTATAAAGACTATTCTATTCTATTCTAGTTGGAAAAAGAGAAGTTACCCAGTAATTAACAATCAAACAATGAGTAATATCAGCTCCAATCGGCTGGAATACTGCATATTCGTATATTTGTGTCCCAGTACAGGAGCCCAGTGGATGTCCTGCTCACCTGGTAGATGACCACTCTGAACTTGTTGCGGGTCAGCAGCTCATCCTGCGTGGTTTCAACCTTCTTCACGCGGACGTTTTGCTTCTCCACACGCGCCCGCACCTCCTTCACGTTGGCGCTGACCTTGCGCGTCTTCTGCAGGAGCTTCTCCACCGTGCAGCTGGTGTCGGTGTGGTCCTTGGCCAGTTTGAGGACGTCGCCCTGGATGGTCTTGATGTTGCTCTCCAGGTCCAGCTGACGCTCTTCCATGCGCTGTTGGCCGGACTGGACGTTGTCGATGATGCCGGCAACGCGCTCCAGCAGGGACAGGATGGTCAGGCCGCTGATGGGGTTCCCGGCCTCGTCCTCCACCCCGACGATCTCCAGCTTCTCCTGGACGCCCGCCGTGCGATACTTGTGCTGATCCATTGCAGGGATTTCTGGGGGCGATCTCTCACCTCGAGCGGGAGCTTTCCGAGTGGTTTAGCTTGGGGACCAGGACCAACGGACTTACCGACAGGGAGACGACACCCAATCACTGTGACCCAAACCTCGGGTCTGAGGACACGAGCAGGAGGAAACCACACCCACTCCCTCTCAAAAAAGGCTTCAGGATCCAAAGGGAACCTGAATTCAGGGCCGTGGGCGGCGAGCGCTCACACAGATCAACCCGCGGCTAAAAATAAAAGTCTTTGTAAGGCGACACGCGGACATATTGGGAGGGTGGTGGAAGTCCCCTGTCCAGGTCACGCTCCGCCCGGGGAGCCACGCAGATCCATTCACCACTTTATTGGCACATAAATCCACGCGAGCAGCTGGGATTTCATGTACATCAACTTGCTTTGATTACACGGCCTTTGGAGGGGGGGGGTGTTAAACATGGCAGCAGCTGCCCCTTTTTACCTTCTCATGGGCAGCGGAGTCTAAACATGTGTGACACTGTCTTAACGCTGTGATGTCATTAGTGGTCCACAGCTCACAGTCCTATGAAGCCAGACGTCCTTGGTCACTTCATACACGCGGATGTGTTAGATAACTTTTTCCCAATGCAGTAATGGTCATTTTTTGTCTTGAGTTGCTTCCACAAGTTTGAATGAGAAAAGAAAAGTTGCTCAGTGGCGCATTTGGTTGAACTGGTTATTAGAGATATCTAATCTCACACATTACTGGTCCCTTTTGCCCGTAGAGCTCCACTGGCGCTTGGGTTTTTAGGACCTATTAACATAAATATGGGCTGTTTTTGTGTTGATAATAGAAAAAATAAGTATAATTTTCTCACTATGGAATGTCTTCAGGGCTGTTCCTGGAGGCTCGGTGAAGTGTCCACGTCCACGTTTCATCAGACATGTTCTCGCTGTGGAAGTTCCAGATACAGCTGATGACCCAAATCCGCCCTGTGTGGTTTCGTCGAGGCCACTTCAGGATCTTTAGGTTTTACTGTGTTTTCTGCAGTGTGTTCGTTTGGAGACGACCGACGGCTGAATGTGTTTGACTGAAGGCAGCAGCTGCTCCCGTCCCTGAAACCCCCCCGGCCTCCACTCTTTAACCCCTATATTTAGTCTAAAGTCCCGGCCCTTTGTAGAAGTGCACCACACATCCTGGTGAGGCGGTGACCTCTGCCCTGGTGCTGCAGATTTTAATCAGACGGCAGCGCTAATTAGACCGGCGTGTGGGCGGAGCCTTGTGACGAGCACCTGGCTGTGGAGAGTCTGATCCAGTGGTATCAGTGGTACCTACCTGGAGGTATCTGGTTCTTCATCAAGCATCAAGAGGTGTGAATACACGCGAATGATCCCGCACGCAGAGAACAAGCAACAGAAGACGTGGAGTAAATATGCAGGGAGGACACACGGCCTCTGTGGAGCCAGAACAAGAAGGATCTGGTCCACGCAGGTCAGTGTTTCTGCAATCATCACTCACACGGTTTCTGTCACATCCCTGGTCCTTCACAGGAAGTGGAATACGAAGACTTGAGCTCAAACATCACAGGATGAAGACACGTTGGCACCAAACTGTACATTAAAAAAACATTTCCTTTTTATTTTGCAGAGACCAAAAACCGCCTCCAGAGTCTACATGCAGAATAGCAACATGTCAAACACATTCTAGTCACATTGAGAGGAGTCACGGCTGCGATGGTCGACAAGTAGAAACACGCTGCTACGACCCTTTTACACTAAGACGTTACAGGAAAACAAAAAAGAGACGACCCCCGACCCCCGACCCCTGACCCCCCCCCCGGTGGCAGCTGACTGTCGGATCCGTCGGTCACAGTGTAAACGACCACAGCTGATCTCTATTCTGATGATTCCTTTGAAATTAAATGATTTTGGACCAGACTTTCCCAGTTCTAAACGTCCCTTCGTCGCCCCCAAACGGATGCAACGATCCGCTGTAGCTTCGCTTTACATTCCTACGACCTTCTAAAACCACGAAGTCACGGCCAACGTTCTGGGTGTTTGTGACATTTTGATCCGGTTAGTTTTGCTTTCACAACGCTTACTTCCTGTCCTCATCGCCTGCTTCCTGTCCTCATCGCCTGCTTCCTGTCCTCATCGCTTACTTCCTGTTCTCATCACCTGCTTCCTGTCCTCATCGCCTGCTTCCTGTCCTCATATTCTGTCCTGTTAGTCACCTTCGCCCCCTTTGTCATTAGCTAGGACGAGACATCGTTGCCTACTTCCTGTCGTCTTCACCTACTTCCTGTGGTCTTCACGTCTTCACGTTCCATCGTCACTGGCGCCACCAGCTCCGTTCCTCCGTCATGGTCTGGCTACGCTGCATCGATCCTTTGGTTGGTTCGATCATCTCAAACCATTTAGAGGGTTTTGTTCTACTTGCTTTTCTTTTTTTCCAGTTGTAATGACAGACAGTTAAAAGGTCGTAATTTATACAAAAGTCAGACACATCCAGAAAAAGGTTTTCAAGCTTGAGACGAACAGTTTGACCTTTCACCCCTTCGTCTCGTCGTCTCAGTTTTAGTCATTTTTCAGTTGCAAAGTGAGTCAACAGCAGTAGAGTTTGTGCATAGTTCATCACAGTCACGTTCTCTAAGAGGAAATGCGTTCAGATTGTTGGAACAAATCAGCTTTCAACAAAAAAAACCCAGTTTACATGTAAATTGTTTCCAATGTGACGTTTAAATGCCTCCGAGGTTTCAGTTTTTAAGGGGGGGGCATCGTTGACGTCCAGCATTCATCCGTCTGCATGAACTAGAGACTAACGTCTGTATCCGGTCACGTGTCAATACCGTAATAACAACAGAAGAAAATGATCCACATGAAAACATCATATCAAGTTGACATTTTGCAGCTGATGCTTCTTTGCCTCCTTCGTTCGTTGTTGCTGCAAAGACAATCAGCCACTACCTACTACCCCCCCCCCCCAGTTAAAACTACATCACAATACACAGTCACAAGTCATGCCAATATACAGGAACTACTACGTAAACAGTTTAGAAACGAGATCATCGTAAACATGGAAGTAAAAAGTGCTTCTGATTGACAGAATGAACACAGAGTGACCATGTCTACCCGTCGATGCCCCCCCTCACCTGCTACGGCAACTCAGCAGGCGGCATTTGGGGATCAGCTGCACGACATTAGTAGAGAACAAAAAGCTCAATAAATTCCCAGTTCAGCACATTCCAGAGGGGCTGATATCCACGAGGAAGCATTTAAGGACGGAGAGCGACGGCTCGCTCAGAGAGAAAGGAAATACTTTCCATCCAAAAACGGGAAAGAGGAGGGAAAATAAGGCCCCTTAAATAAACACCATCATTCTTCTGTCCTAACGGTTTCCCGGGTGAGGAAAAAAAAACCAATACACCAAATCTACCGTTAAAAAAAATGCTTTTCCTTCCCACGACGTAAGAAAGAACTTATCAAAAGGAAGCGGGCTATACCATCCGGGAGCCGGGGTCCGAGGAAAAGTGTCCCAGGTTCTGCTTCTGCCGGCGACCCCCCCGCTGGTTTTTAGGACATTTCCTGAAGGGACGAACAGAGGAGGAGACTCAACGTGGAACCACAACGAGACGCAAATTAAGACTAATAAAGACTCGGCTAGTAATGGCGCTGCCTTTGATACGCTACATGCAACCGCTTTAAACGGCTTTAGACAAGCAAACCGACCTTGTGATGCACATCACCACGGCGACGATGATGGCGATCTGCACGGCGCCTATGATGGCGGCGATGAGGACGTAGTGGAGCTTCTGTCCGCTGGGCACCACGTACAGGATGTTGAAGTCCTGAGGCTCGTCACACTGAGCGCCCCTGTAGCCGGCGTCACACCTGCAACGCCGCATGTACAGTGAAACGCAGAACATATACATGGAAACACTAAAGTACTTTAATGTACAATACGTATGTACTGGAAAGTACTTTCACTCAGGAGCTGGGTCTTCTATAGAACTATGTGGGTAGTATTTATATATGTACAGTATTCACACACAGCAGTAGTACTTCACACACCTGCAGCTGGCCGTGCTGTACTTCATTTCACACTTGCCGTGGACACAGTAGCCGGCGTAGCTCTCAGAGCAGGGGATCGGCCTCCCGGCGTAGAACCCGTCACCGTGGTCCAGACCGGTGGTCTCTGGACGAAAGACAAACCAGTTAAACCGACTAAACTGGTGTTCAATAAACGGAAATATTAAATCTATTAACAAGACTATTGTGAAATACAAGCAAAGCTCAGATATCAAATGCTATTCCGTGATTACCGTTGATCCAGTAAGAGAACAACGGATCACGAATATCCAAAATCATGATGGTACCCGTATGCTAAATTATGTTAGCTTAGCATAACGAGCGGAAAGAAGGGGGAACTGTTAACCTGGCAGCAACTTGTTTGTTACATACCAGACGTTTTTAGAGGATTTTCTGTGGTTTTGAGTTGTGTTTATTGTGGATAAACGTTTCTAATGACGGCAGAGAACCCGGAGAAGGTCCAGATGAACGAAGGGACGATATGATTTAAAACAGTTGAAAGACCAGTTGTATCTTACTGGTGATATCTCACTTTAGTTGACATCACAGTTCACTTTAGTAATCAGGCGGCAACTTCTGGTTCTTTAAAGTGAAGGCGGAGTTTCATGAGTTGAGTTGGCGACTCCTCTGCTCCCATAGACGTCTATGAGGAAATGACTCTACTTCTCTGTAGTGACCAGCAGGGGGCGACTCCTCTGCTCCCATAGACGTCTATGAGGAAATGACTCTACTTCTCTGTAGTGACCAGCAGGGGGCGACTCCTCTGCTCCCATAGACGTCTATGAGGAAATGACTCTACTTCTCTGTAGTGACCAGCAGGGGGCGACTCCTCTGCTCCCATAGACGTCTATGAGGAAATGACTCTACTTCTCTGTAGTGACCAGCAGGGGGCGACTCCTCTGCTCCCATAGACGTCTATGAGGAAATGACTCTACTTCTCTGTAGTGACCAGCAGGGGGCGACTCCTCTGCTCCCATAGACGTCTATGAGGAAATGACTCTACTTCTCTGTAGTGACCAGCAGGGGGCGACTCCTCTGCTCCCATAGTTTATGGTTTATGGTCTCGGTCTCTAGTTTCAAGTCTTCTTCAATACAGATGATGTTCATTTAGTGAATGATGGTCCATTTAGAGTCAAACAGACCATGAAGCAGGGGACACTTTAGGGCGGGGCTACATGCTGATTGACAGGTCTCTACTTCATTCCTCCTCAGTCCAGATATGGTCACTTCCTGTCTACTGGTTGAAAAAAAACATTTGGCGCCGGCTATTGACACAGTGAGGTTGTGACCGGCGTCTCTGGACGTCTGCCTGAAAGGACGGAGAGGTCGCTCACCTAAGACGTTGACCTTGAAAGGACTGCTGTCGTCCTTCTTCCCCGGTTTGTCTTTATCAGCTGCTGAGGAGACAGAAACAGAACCAACACACTGATTTCAGTCCTTTCATCCGTTACATGTTCTATTTCCACAGTGTTGACACCTGAATTACTACCTGCTGTCTGTGTGAGAGACAGACTGAAGAGGAGGATGTTTACTCCACGTCTGAGTCTCGCTTCGTTTGTCAAGGTGGTGGAGTGTGTGTGTGTGTGTGTGTGTGTGTGTGTGTGTGTGTGTGTGTGTCACCCATTCTTCTGCTACACACACACACACACACAGGGAGGTACATTTGAAATACAGAGAGACAAACACACACTCATCCATCTTTAGTACTCCATCATTCCTCCCATCCTCCCTCTGTCTCCCTTCCTACCTCCTCCCATCCTCCCTCTCTCCCCCCCTACCTCCTCCCATCCTCCCTGTCTCCCCCTTCCTACCTCCTCCCTCTCTCCCCCCCTACCTCCTCCCATCCTCCCTGTCTCCCCCTTCATACCTCCTCCCTCTCTCCCCCCCTACCTCCTCCCATCCTCCCTGTCTCCCCCTTCCTCCCTCCTCGCACCCTCCCTCTCTCCCCCTTCCTCCCATCCTCCCTCTCTCTTTCCCAGCTTTTTCACGTGGTCCAAATGAACAAAATCTCCCAAAATCGAATCCATATTTTTTACTTTAATGCCGACCAGCTGCTCATGTTCTTCTGACTCGATTCCAGCTGTGAGCTGATGATCGTATTGAAAATAGAGATTGTTTCATGTTGCCGTCGGATCAGAAGACCGATGAGAATCGATCAATAACGCAACCTAACCTAATTAGCTTCAATCCATCTCTGAGACATCAGTTGAGAGTCAGGTCCCCCTTCGGGCAGATGCTCTTCGTCTCGGGGGGGCTCGACACCCACCGCTTCTCCGAACCAATCAGATGCTCCGTGACGGTCCACCTTGAAGCCGCTGAGGAGGGATCCATAGATTGGTAACAGGGCGTCTGCGGTTAGACGATACGTCTGAGATTCAAGGCTGGTGCGTGGAGGTAAGTCTCAGTGTGGGGGGGCGGGGGTCAATAAGAAACATCAGCAGCCGAGGCCTGCATCCATCAAGCCACAAAGATGATTAAAAAAATATGATGTGCAGTGAACCGTAGATTTCCCATGAGAGTGTTTAACCCTCGTGATGAGGAACCAGGAAGGTGAAACCAGAGCGGTTTCTCACTCGAGGCGTCCACACTTAAAGAGTCACAGAAAACCACTTCTCTATTTGCAGCCTTTGGTCCTTTAAACAGAAGCTTCATGTGTTAAAGCTGCATTCTGTGTAGTGACCAGCAGGGGGCGACTGCTCTGCTCCCAAAGACGTCTATGAGAATATGGCATATAAACATGAGTTTATGGTCTCAGTCTCTAGTTTCAAGTCTTCTTCAATACAGCATGATGTCCATTTAGTGAATTATGGTCCATTTAGAGTCAAACAGACCTTAAAGCAGGGGACGCTTTAGGGCGGGGCTACACACTGACTGACAGGTCTCTATCAGTCCATATATGATCACTTCCTGTTCACTGGTTAAATGGCGATGGCCAAATTGCCGAGCTTGAGTCTTTAAAACGTCCACAAACAAATAAATGAACCATCCTGGACAAATGTGCTTCTTGTTTTCCAGAATATCTGATTGATGAAGCGTCCTGCGTGTATCTGTTGGATTGAGGCCTCGTGGAACCACAGTGAAACCAGCCGCACGCTCGGTCTGCGGGTTAATTGGAAACATCGATGATTGGATGCGTTCATTTGTCCCGACACGGTTCGGATAACAAGGCTGATTCACGGCAGAGATGAAAGGCTGTCACACATCCATCCTGCATTTTACTACGTCAGCACCTTAGTGTGGAGCAACAACCTCCGTCTGTGGCACCGGGATGCATGGAGGAGGAGGAAGGTGTTACACATCCACTGCGATTCAGGGAGAATTTAAAGTGACGGAGGAACTTGAAGTGATGCAACAAGGTGAAATAGAGCTGAGCTCTGAGAGGAAAACATCTGAATAATTTCAGCTGTGACAAAAAAACAGGAAGGACTGAAGTAAAGAGATCGAACGCATCATTTTCCAGCCTGCGTAGCAAAACTAGATATACGCTAGTGCTACTGGGTTAGCATTACTGGGCTAGCCTTTGTGCTACTGGGTTAGCGTTACTGGGCTAGCCTTTATGCTACTGGGTTCTTGCTACTGGGCTGCCTTTGTGCTACTGGGTTAGCGTTACTGGGCTAGCCTTTGTTCTACTGGGTTCTTGCTACTGGGCTAGCCTTTGTTCTACTGGGTTCTTGCTACTGGGCTGCCTTTGTGCTACTGGGTTAGCGTTACTGGGCTAGCCTTTGTTCTACTGGGTTCTTGCTACTGGGCTGCCTTTGTGCTACTGGGTTAGCGTTACTGGGCTAGCCTTTGTTCTACTGGGTTCTTGCTACTGGGCCAGCCTTTGTGCTACTGGGTTCTTGCTACTGGGCTAGCCTTTGTTCTACTGGGTTCTTGCTACTGGGCTAGCCTTTGTTCTACTGGGTTCTTGCTACTGGGCTAGCCTTTGTGCTACTGGGTTCTTGCTACTGGGCTGCCTTTGTTCTACTGGGTTCTTGCTACTGGGCTAGCCTTTGTTCTACTGGGTTCTTGCTACTGGGCTAGCCTTTGTAGCCTTTCTAGTCTTCGTCTTACCGGGGCACGGGCCCAGGTGTTTGACGTCGATCTGCTCCTGCTTCATGCACGACGCCTCTCGGACCAGACAGGGGTTGTTGTAGGAGTTCCCGTCGGTGGCGCACACCGGGTTCTCGTTGTGGCCGCTGCAGTCGATGTTACAGATGCACCTGAAGAAGAAGAGAGCGGGTCAGTGTTTCTACCAAGGCATCGTATCATTAGCTGGGGCTCATTTTGGAGACTAAGCCGGTAATTCATTGTCCACTGACCCGGCGTCTGCACAGGTCAACGGTCCTTTTTTCAGACATACCTAATTCAGAGCAAGTTCTAATTCAGATTTTTCAATTAATTCACAGACTCAGAGAGTTCATCTTCTCAAATGTGGGGTTGCACAGGGTTCCAGTCTTGGACCTTTATTGTTTCTTATTTCTACAAAGGATTTATCGATGTATTTGAAATCCCTTTTCCTATAATATCTGCGGATGACAGAACCTTCGCCGATTGAGAAAACCAATAGTGGTTTTGATGCCGACGCCACATGGATATTTTTTCATCCATGCTATGTTTTTTTATTTTTATTTAATTATGCAAATAAATTAAAGTCTGAGGATAACGACACACCAACAGGTAATCGTCCTGGAGCCGCCTTAAGGAAGCTGTGGGCTTCTTCCTCTTCACCAGACTCACCAGACGTCCTCAGAGTCCTCGTCGCACTCCGCTCCGTATTTACAGGTGCTGCACTTGGTGAACTTCTTCCCGACGTCGGAGCCTGAACCCTCGTCGTCTGCAACAAAACGCATAAAGTATTCATATAAGTGTATAAGTGTACCGTCTGACCCTAGAGACACGAGTCCAGCAGCGCGCAGAGGAGGACGAGTTGTTGCACGATGAAGGAATTCAACTGAGTTTCTAAGTGATAACGACAAACCTTTTATTGATCCTTTAAGAGTAATAAAACACCGTGAATGGAGAAACCACATCACCACCTTCTCCTAAAGAGCATGAAGCATCGTCCTATGATATCAGTTGTTGGTAACAACCGGAACACGAAATATCAAAGAGATTCATCTGGCACAATCCTGTAATGTAGTTTATGCACATCAGACATCAAATGTCCTCTGACCTGAAGTTATTTCATTAATACATACATACGTTTTTACACAATAAAACACTGTTAAAATACAAAGATACATTTAAAGCGACATGATGATTAAAATGACGCGAGGGGGTTGAGGCTGTAGAGACATGTAGAGCTCGGAGCGGCTCAGAGGCCCCCGATCGATTGGACGAGGAGCCGCAGCAGAAAGTCTCTTTGTCCCCGTTGGACTGTGGAGGGTCTGGATGGGCCTGGATGGGCCTGGGTGGGTCTGGGTTGATTAGCCGGACCAACAATCCGAGGACAGAATCTAGAAGGTGGCTGAAACTGAACCGTGGCGCATGGAGTAGAGAGGGTCCCATGTCGAAGTGTCCCTGAAGAAGACACCCGACCCGTCCCGGCTCCCCGGGCGTCCTCGCGGCAGCTCGCTGCTTTAGTTCAGGCGGGTCCGACTCTCTGAAGCTCTTTTTCAGCTGCGTCTTCTCCTGACTTTCATGTGTGGAATCTTTCTTCTTGGTTTTCTTGAGTATCGTTTGAGTAGTTTGGGTAGTTTGATCATCGAGTGCCATCAATTCACGTGTGTTTGACTTTAGTGAAAAAAACAGACTCACCGTATCCGTCTCCAGAACCGGAGCCGGGATCTGTGAAGACAGGAGAGACACCAGCGTCTCTTCATTACAAGGATACGTGGTGGAACCATGATAGTTACAGTTCTTTGACATGCAGCATTCTGTTCACCACACAGTTAGCATAGCTTAGCATAGAGACGTGTTTTCATCTGGGGCGTGGGAACGCGTCTTTCCCTTATTCCACAGTTATCTCGTGTCTCATCTGTTTATTTGGAGGTTTATTGCTCTTCAGGTTGACAGATCTGACCGACTTTGAGCTGGAGTCCCGAATGGAGACGTACAAATATCGTCCCTGAAGCTGAGAGCATGAAACTATTGACGCCCACGAAACAGAGTTGTGTTTAAATAAGTACTCAGGAAATGGAAGCGAGCAGTTGGTTTGGAGGAAGGAAGGAATGGACGTAGAAACACTTGGGTAGGAAATAAGGAAAGGAAAGGTTGGATGTGTAGAAGGAGAGAAAGTAGAACGTATTCTTCTTTTGTTTCATCCAGAAAAACCAGCCGGACTGCAGACGAATGTGAGTCACCGCTCTAACTCCCCTGTTTCTAGAGTGGATGCGTCCACATTCAGGTCAGACGGGGACATCATTCCATGTGTCTCGTGAGACACTGGAGAGAAGCTCAATGGAGAGTCAATAAAACCTGCAGAGGACATTGAACATCTTCACCATCGTCTCCTCCTGAAGGTCTCAATGAAGCAGCACAGTCCAAATGAAGGCTTCCACACCTGGAGAAGCTTTGAAGCAGGCAGTTTATTCATGAAAAGCCTTTTGTTGGACGGGACACCGCTGCCACGAGGTGTGTTTTACTATTTGTTAAATGAAATCTAAATATTGAGCTTCATCCTCACATGAGTGAGCGAAGGAAGATGTAACTCGCCAATCACAGCACAGCTGGGCGAGAACACCAGAACTCTAATGTTATTTATAAGAAACCGACACGTCTCTTTTTCTCTTTGTTCAGCTTCATTTGGTTTGGATTTTCTGGTGGCCGATCGAATATTTATAGTTCTGGTTTTAGAAAAGCCTGTAAATGACCCCTCGGGGTCCCCCACCGACGGACTTTGTCATCCCCATTTCCACCGGTCACTCCACATACACCTGTCACGTGTCCTATGTCCCCTGTCACGTGTCCCCTGTCACGTGTCCTATGTCCCCTGTCACGTGTCCCCTGTCACGTGTCCTATGTCCCCTGTCACGTGTCCCCTGCACCCACAACACAGTTGCACTATGTTGTCTTATCTGTCTTGTTACGCACCAACCGCCAAGTCAAACTCCTTGTACGTCTCACATATTTTAGTGATAAATGTTTCCTGATTCCTCCAAATAACTTTTTATATTTTGGGTATGAACTCTGGGGCGTAAAAGAAGACGAGTCGCGTCCGTCTCCGCCGGGCGATGCCAACGGACGGGGAGCAGTGATCGGCTGTTGAGGGGCACCGTCCTGGATCAAGGGGCCTCCTGGCGGACTCACCGGCTGAGCAGGGGCCGTCGGACACGCGCAGGATGGCTCTCTGCTGCTTGCAGGACGCCTGCCGGCGGTAGCACTCGTTCTGGTAGGTGTCTCCGTTGGAGCCGCACACCGGGACGTAGTTCTTGTGACACTGGAAATAAGACGGGAATGTTAGTGAAGTCTCAACGTCACCGCTGGACTGGACCCACTCGGGACCGGCTGAGAGGCGGCGCCGGGGTCGAGTCGGGCGGAGTTAAGGTACGTCGGCTGTTCACGGTGTCACATTCGAGGCCAATAGAGCCGATTGTGCCCCTGAATAAAGGTTGGCCTGACGAGCCCCAGTGGTTTGCCCGTATCGTTGATCTGATGGGAGGAAGATCTTCAAAGGACTCTGAGGAGAAATCAGAGCGTCCTGATCATGTTTCAACCTCCTGTAACCACAGACGGTCAATAAGAGGTGGAAGAGTCTTTGTGGCGTCACTCGTTGGTTCGTGGACGTTTGAAGCCTCCTTTACTTTTTTCGACTGTGTTTGGGAGGTCAAAAGCGTCCCCTGCTTTGTCCGTCTGTTTGACTCTAAATGGACCATAATTCACTAAAACAACATCATCTGTATTGAAGAAGACTTGGAACTAGAGACTGAGACCACAAACTCATGATTACAATGTTTACTGAGGGAATAAATCAAGAGAGAAGTAGAGTCATTTCCTCATAGACGTCTATGGGAGCAGAGGAGTCGCCCCCTGCTGGTCACTACAGAGAAGTAGAGTCATTTCCTCATAGACGTCTATGGGAGCAGAGGAGTCGCCCCCTGCTGGTCACTACAGAGAAGTAGAGTCATTTCCTCATAGACGTCTATGGGAGCAGAGGAGTCGCCCCCTGCTGGTCACTACAGAGAAGTAGAGTCATTTCCTCATAGACGTCTATGGGAGCAGAGGAGTCGCCCCCTGCTGGTCACGTGAGGTATCTGCTTCCCTTTAATAAAATTCCTCCTGCTTGTAATGGTGCGTTTCCACCGAGCGGTACGGTACGGGTCGGGTCGGTACGGGTCGGGTCTGTTAACCATGATTTGGCGAGCGTTTCCACCGCCAACAGTACCCTTACTTGATAGGCGTGGTGTATTCCAGAAAGTAGTGATAAGGTCACTTGATGGGCGTGGTACATGACGGAAAGTAGATTGAAAACTGACAAAAACTGAAAGCTAACCGCAAACAACAATGGAGGACGTGCAGCCGATCCTGTTCCTGCTTCTTCATATGTGGCTGTTTGTCACAAGGAGACGACACTCTTTGTTTGAGCAAAGGCTACATGCTGCAGGTGTGTTACGTGTGTTGTCTTCCCCTTGCGGCACGCGCAAATGACGACACTCTTTCAACCAATCAACGCTCTGCAGTGAGTCTAGCTCCGCCCTTTAGTACCAAACAACTGTGCCAGGTGCCCCAACGGAAGGGAACCCAAGAAGTGGTACGGGTCGGATTTTTGGTACCATTCTCAACTTTTAGCAGTGGAGACACAAATAAAAGGGTACCGACCCGACCCGTACCGATCCGTACCGGTGGAAACGCGCCATAAGAGACTAGTTGTGGTTTCTTTTAATCCTGATATCAACAGAATGATGGTCTGAAGCTACAAACGTTTTGGTACAGCCTTATTATTGGCGTAGGTGTGTTAATAATAACAAACATATAAATAATCTTTTACTATAATATAATTATAATAATTATAATATTCTAATATCATTTAAGAGATTGTACTCTTTATGATTCCATTGACGGAGAGAATAAAGGAGTGAACACAGCAGGAATACTGAACCGTAGACGCGTAGTAAACTTCTCTTCCTACCTGGAACTGGCAGACGCATTTGAGCTGAGCTCCGTCGTCTCTGCACGCGCCGGAGAATCGGCAGGTGGACTCGTCGCAGACCCTCAGGTCGCTCTTCTTCTCCGACAGATCTGCAACACGGGGAGAAACGCAAAGGGTGAAACGGGGGGGGGGGGTTAAGTGAGGGAGGCGGGCCGATCGATATCAGACCCACAAACACCGGCAGCATCCAGTCTGACCACTGAGGAGCAGACGGAGAGCGGAGAACGTCCTGGTGTCTTTACCTCCACTCAGAGTTGAAGGGTTCAAACCCTCCTTGTTGTTTTAAACCTCGGGAGGTCACGCTTACAGCAACACGCGGACAGTGTGTGTGTGTGTGTGTGTGTGTGTGTTGCCTTCAGGCCCTCGTTCATTTTACAACAGAAACAGGGATTTTAAGATGCACATGATTCCTTCTCTTTGGTATCAGACCTAAAGGAGCTGACGGAGCGAAGCAGCTCGGGGGCACATCCACCTCCAAAACCCGCCCCCCCCCCGCCTCCCACCCGGTCGCCATGGCCACCCTGCCCAGCTCCTAATCTAAACCCCCCCACCGCTTCCTCGCCCCTCCAGGACAGACGGACGTCGATACCCCGTCTTCTGCCCTGCGTCCTTTAGCGCTTTAGCCGCTGCACAGCTTCTGTTGTCTC